GTAACAACCTAATAACTAAAAACGAAACTAAACGACATTCCTAAAAACGAAACAACCAAATAATAATTTATTAACCATTTTTAAAAAGGGTATTGCACATTAAATGCTTGACAAAGATTTAAAAGAATGAGATTTAAAAAAAACATTAATTGAAAAGGAATAAAATTAGAGAGAAAAAATTGAGTTAAATTATATACCCTATAATTATATTGAAACGGTTGTTGGGAACAGGTCAATTTTTATACCCTTGTAGAGGGTATTATAATTTTGTTAGATTTAGCTAGATCACCATCAAGAGCCAAGTTGATATAGGACATGTTCGTCTGTCCGTCTATCTCTTTCTATAAGAACTTGCATCTCAGTTCTCTATCCTTACTTTCCCGATTCCTTTTAACTTTTGACATAAATTTGGACTTTGAGCAATCCAATTTACATATTATTTTAAAATAACGTATTATTAAAAGCCAAACAAATAATAGATCGAAGAAACACTCATAAAAAGAAATATGCAAAATATTTCAAAGGGAATCAATTTAATTTAAGCTACCAGACAAAAAGAAACGAAAGAAATGAAAAATGCTTGCAATGGGAAATTTGGAGTCCAAAAGGAGTGTCATGCTTAGAAGCTGATGTTGGAAAATTCTTGGCACAGACATGAACTAGCATCTTCTTGCAACTCTATTAGGCCACACAGAAGATGCAACTTTTACTTTCAGCGCGCTGGCAACAGCTAAGGAAACATACACAGAAACAGAAACTACTCGCAACGACAAACAAACAAACAAACAAACAGACAGACAGACAAACAGGCAAACAGGCAGAGACAAAGCGACAGACAGACGCATAAAGTGTACGATTGCTGGGGGCGGGGCAGGGTGGGGTTGGGTTCTTCTCTGAGGGACACATGCAACACAAATATGACAATACAATGACGACAGTTTGCACGAACGCCAACAAACGAGAGCGGGAGGGGGGAACAGGAGAGATCAACGGGAACACATTCGTACATATCAGCGAAGACAAACAAAACGCACGAGAAAAAAAAAACGCACATGGACAAGAAAGAACTACGCTTAGCCGAACTTGAAATACCCTTTTTGACAAAGATATGCAGCATATAATATTCCAATCTTAGGTTAACTAGTTGATATCCGAGAGTTTGGGTTTAAGTGGATTTTCTCTTCAAACATAAATTAAGCTCAAAATTTTTTGCTTTATTCTTCCTATAGAGGCTATACGATAAATTACATATAGCATAGCTGTTGACCGATTATTCCACTGATATGGTTCTCCGATCATAAAAAGATGTTCCCTAAGTGTTAGGAGCCCTATTAAAAAAATTATGGGTAAGTATATTCGAGATATCTTAAAAGGACGAATGTTTTCTTTAAGTAGTGCCAAACTTAGGACTATTGTTCCTATGGAAAGTATATAATATTCTAATCTGGTGCTAAGAAATATGCTTAATACAAATTTGAGTAATTGATCATTTTTTAAAACATACTTTCAAAAAACGTTATTTATATAAGAACCTAATTTCTGAAAGATCTTAAAATGAACAAAATGTTTGTTTATTAAAGAAGTTTTTCCCCTAAGAATCAAATTCTTGAGAAATTGTTAATAAGGGGAGCTATAAGATATAGTTGCCCGATGTTGAAAAGATTTTGGCAGATTCTGTGAACCATTATAAAACTCAGATTAGTAACTCAGATAAAAGTCTTAAAAAATGTTGTAAAAGAACTTAAATTTTGATCAATAATTTCGAAGGCAGATGTTCAAACTGATTGTGAATATATAATATATAAGTATGCGAATACCTACAGGGTATATAACGAAAAAGCATGGCAGCCCTGTGGAAGTGGCAAAGTGGCACCGGCAGCAGCAACGCTCCAACTAGATGAGGGCCTGCGGCAGCTAAGGAGTCAAAAACTGAATCGGAGTCGAAGTCGGAGTCGGAATCGCCTTGTTTATGAATACGCGGGCATTGTGTGGCAAGGCGACGAGGCGGAGAGCCCAAAAGATACGCAGACATGAGTGGCAAGAGCACAGAATACAAATACAGATACAGATAAAGATACAAATACAGATGCAGATGCAGATAGACATGTGCAATGTTTGAGAACTAAACAAGGAAATATTGACAAATAGATTAAAACTTATTAAGGCAGCAGCAGCAGCGGCGGCAGCAGCAGCAGAAGCAGCAGCAGCAGAAGCAGCGGCGGCAGCGCAGTCGCTGCAAAAATGTCGCATGTCGCGTGGGGGCTGGCGTCTGACATGTTGTCGCGTCTGTTGCGCGTGGTTTAACGCACACCACAAGAGGCACGTGCAGCAGCCGCAGATACTTATGGCTGGCTGGGCAGGTTGAGGTAGGTCCGGTTAAGCACTCGGAGCCACTCATTGCCAATATTTATCATCAAATATGGTCGAAATCTATATTTAGACGCTGACGATCGAACGAGAGCGACTCGCATTCGGTTTATATATATATATATAGATATACATTTTTTGTGATCATCTTCAGGCCTGACCTCGAGCACGATCGCGATCGCGATCGCGTTCGCGGCTTTCTATTGAAACAGTTGGCCGCCAGAGAGCGTAAACACGAGTCTGTCAACTTTTTTTTCTTTTCGGGCCGCTGCCCACACGTAAGCTGATCGCCAACTGATCGAACGAAGTGATCGCAATTCGACCTAATGGTTGAGGCTGGCATATTTGGCCAACAAATTTGCCACTTTATGTGATTCATTTGAAAGCCAATCAAGTGGGTGTCGCAAGTGTAGATCACTGTGGCAAGTTCCGCGGATCGATCGTGTATTAGGGCCGTATATAAACAAGTGAAGGCGATGTCATGGGATCCATTCAATATCGAGAAGTTTGCTAAACCTGAGACACTTCACATTGTACACAGTCAACTCGATTGTTTAAATACCGTCGAACTAGCCGACTAGAGTAAAACGATCGTAAATAAAAACTCTAGAGGTGTAAACAATTGCTATTGTAATGTATATCAGCTAACTTTGGGATTCCTATGCTCTGGCAGAAGGCCTTCCACTTGAATGTGTGGAAAACTCGCGAAAAACGTTTGTATGAAAGTTTTTTGCTTACCAGCCGATCGGCTTCAAAATCATTTTCACAGATATTTGTGAGAATTTATTTGATATTTGATTTCTTGTGTGGCAACTGACGTTCAAAGGTTTAACAAACATAAGTTTATTCTTCAGCAAGTCTAACATGGGCGGAAACCTTTGATTCCAAAACTTTATTTCTTTATTCGAGGCATTTAATACATATTTTGAAATAAAAGTGTAGATCAAGATGGGTAGACTAAAATTTTTCACGAGCGTATAGACGAAATATCTACAATCTTTAGCACTAAACGTTTCACGTTTCAGGTTGATTATATTATATATCTGTCATTTATTTCTGCCTCCGCTGCTCTAATATAACTTTAGAATACTTTTTTGCCTGCTGAGCTGTTCTTCTTATCTTTCTAAACAAAAATTACAATAAATATTCTATTTGTTATGCTTTATAATCTATTAGCTTCCATTCTTCATGATCAAGTGATAATCATTTTATTTGCAACACGGCTTTCTCTTTGGATCTTTTTTCACATAATTATTATGTAATTCATGTTAATAAATCGTTGGATCAGTCTATGGTTTTCTTTTCAAAGCCTTCGTTCGTGTTGCTTGTTTTTCACAACTTTTATTTTTTTTTTTGTGTATCTTTTATATTTGTAATCCATCTCAAAATCTTATGATTAACTGAAACTTGAAAGATGTTTCTTTAAGCTGCTCATAAATCAAATGTTTTAAATGCACATTTAGCTGCGAACTTTACAAATGGAGTCAGCAACATGTTGTACAGTGTTACAGTGTTCGGGTGGACTAGTTCAGTTTTCCCATTAACCGGCAAATCCCTAAGCAAACACTCGGAATTGTACCTGATTGACCAGCGGTACGTAGAGTAAGGATCCGCTGATAAGACTGCGCCGTCTATCTAAAGCTAATAGAGACGGTAAATTGCATGTGAATGGGCACTAGGAAGATATATGAATGTATCTGCCAGTCGATACCCCATGGTAGGTACACGATTTGGCAAATCTGGAGTGAGGTAATGGACTGGCATTTCTCGGAGACAATAAATTTGTTGGTTACCTTTTTGTCATGGCGAAAGGAAGAGCGATAAGCAGAAATCGTTGACTTAGCCCGAGGCGCTTATCTAACGCGTCGAGAACAATGCAAAAAAAAAAGAAGGTAAAAGCAAGACACGCGGGCGACAAGCCGAAAGCAACCAATAGTCAATTCGCCAAAAAAAAAGAAACATAAAATATACACAAATTACTTATCAAATGTTGTTTATCTAAGAAATTTGTTGCTGCTGCTGCTGCGGCGAAGGAAATGACAAAAAACGCAAAGAATGCGAGCGCCAGGGCGAGCGAGGTGAGTGAGCGCGGTGAAGCGCTCTCGCAGGCAGCGAGAGGTAAAAGAACGATGACGAGATCTCTCTCTCTCTCTCTGTTAGTGTAGTGGGTGGCGCAGGCGTGTGTGTGTGTGTGTGCGTGTGTGTGAGTGCGAAATGCCGCGGCGATTAGCAATTCGCTGTCAAAACGCATCGAAAGCGAAAAAGCAAGACAACAACCAAGGCCTAAGGAACAGACAGGCAAAGGTGCAATGCACGCAACAAAATGCAGGAGAGCAGCACAGCCAAAGAGAGCGAGAGAGTGAGAGTATGTGTGTAAAAGTTGTGAGAGCGCGCCTGTTGCGTGTAAGTTCAAGTTGTGGGCGACAACGTTGCTAATTTTCGCCGGCTAAGTAGCCGCAGGCTAAAGCTGAACTTGAACTTGTGTGCAACGTGGACGAACAACAAGGAAGAGGCAAACGCATGGAAACAGTAGCAGTTACATGAACAGTAATAGGGGCACGGAAAAGGAATAGGAAGGGAGACTGATCGCAGCATCGACCCTGGACTTTGAGTGGGGCTGCGCTAACACTTACGGTGCAAAGATTGTGAAGAGTTCGACAATTGGCGGCGGCGTTGTCCGTGCGGTTGTTGTTGCTCCAATTCCAAATTGCACGCACTCTCCACACACTTTAATTCGCGTATCGCGCTTCTTTTTCCGTTCTCGCACTTCACTTGCTTGGCAGCTGTCGCTGTTGTTGTTTTTATTTTAACAATTAAATATAAATAATAATAATTATGTTTGTATGTATATGATTTAATTACGACACATTTCGAACAAAACAAAATATAAAACAAAAAAATTGTATAAAAACAGCAGCGCGCTGTAACGAATACGACGAATCCGTTGCCGCGACTTCGTCTGCCCCGGCACCGGCCAGCAATTGCCCAGTGTAGACACGCACAACAACAATGCCAACAACTACTTAGATTAACCAAAATAATTTCGTACTTAATCGTAGGAGCGTGATTAACAATCGCAATCAAATGTATTAAGCTGCCTTTTAGCCGGAGAACTTAAACTCGCGACCGTTTCTCCGCTACACTGAGAGAGAGACACACGATCTTCGCGTTACAATTGCGCCAAACAGACTAATCTTGCGACACCAATCGATGCCACTTATCGATAGCAACAAATCTGTTTGCCGCCACAATCGATCAAATTATTTTGCTCTACCATTCGCCCCGAAACGTCTTTGAATATGTCTTTAATCAGCCGAGGCCAGTTTAACGGCTTAAAATATAAAAAGCATTTTTATTTGAGTAAAAATCCCAAGAAAATAAAGAAAATTTCATTTTGTACATAAAAACGAATCAAAACTGTCAGTGTACGTTACGTATAATAAAAAGAATTGGTAATGAATAAAAATTATTCTTCATATTCTATGTAAATATTCAGTTTACTTCTGCTGTCGGAATTGTTTTTACCACGAATTCAAAAACGATCATTATTTATCGATATTTTTTGGCCAATCTCAGTAGCAAAGGGCGCCAAAGTTCAAAATGGGATATAACAAAATATTAAAGCAATGCTTGTGAAAATGTATGCTAAAATTAACTTTTCCGCTCTTTCTTCGAAAGATTAAGTAAATAATTTATTTAAGCCATATTATATTTAATGTAGAATTTATACCTATATCACAAGCCTAAAAAATACCTAACTATAATTTATAACAACAACATTGATCCTATATAACATATATATCTTTGAGAGCATTTATTTTAAACGTGCCACGGGCAAGGCTGGGTATACACGTTATTATCCTATATAAACTTAGGTTGAAATTTCCCACTCCCATAACTCGGTCAAAACTCAACCGATTTCCATAAGGTTTGGCTTTTTGTTCATGGCTTGGCATATTAATCTGGCAACATTATTTTCGGTCAAAATTCATGCAAAAATGGTACCCTCAAATATCCTATATAGACATAGGTCAAAATTTCCCACCCTCATAGCTAGGTCAAAATTTAACAGATTTTCATAAGGTTTGGCTTTTTGTTCATGGTTTAGACTTTAGATCAATTTGGCATCTAAATCTGACATTATTTTTTATTTTATAAGTATACACACATGTACACATACATAAATACACACAAACATGCATACATACATACATACTCACACACACACACATGCACACAAAAATATATTTGAAAATAATTTCAAAAATCGCTGATACACGCTTTCCTCATATTGCGATAAGTTTGCAACACGTTTCAAAAAATTTTTAATAAAATGCTTTGGATGTGAATTTTGATCCGAAACTTTACCGGCTCAATCTATGGCACTTCTATGAATTTCAACAAAGATCTTTGAAAATGAGTTTAAGACCAATCGGATGGTAAGCAAAAACCGTTATTCACGGTTTTTCCACATTTGCAGGTGGAACCCCGTTTTAACATGCAGCTCCATCACATAAGGTAACCCTAGTCGGTCAGTCAGTCACTTAGGAAAAACAGTTTTATACATAGAGGTCTAGCGCTTTCTTTTTAAATCCCAACATGAAGACAAGTTAAATGTGACAAATACTTATAATTTATTTGTGCATGGAAGGTACTTCTCGTGCTTTCCCCGATGCAATCAGAGCAGATTCCACATTGATTACCTCGCGGCCCGCTAAATGCAACGTCATCGAAGGGGGTCGGTGAGTCGCGGGGGGGGGGGGGGTCGATTATGCAAGTGCCAAGTGCCCCAGCATAGAAAGTTCATTAGGCGTAATAAACAATTCACGTCGCAAACCAGATCTTTGCTTGATTGTTGTGTGGATTACGCACGATTACATTTAGTGGGTCAGCGGGGAAGCTGTTGCTTTATGGATCATAAAAATCGTTATCTGTATTTTCACTTTTAACAAACCATTGTATAAACAATTAACTAAGATATTTTCAAAACAAATTTTGTTTCTTTTACTTTTTGTAATGGTCGAAAAGTCTTTTAACTCTAGTGTGTACGTGTTTGTGTATGCATATGTGTATAAATAGTTCCCGCTGCGCTGCTTTGTTCAACGTAAGGTATTTTTAATATTGCCTTTCTATGTGATTCTCATAAGTTCAAGTAAGGTCTGCGCGTTTTCTTGCTTTCGTTATAGTAACTTTTCTTGTATTTTTATTTCAAACGTTTATGTGCAGCTCTTGTGGCTAGAGTGTCGAACGGAGACTACCCCAAATCAGCTGTGAATAAGAGTGCGAAGAGATGGCAACCCTGGCCCGCTGTTCGTTGGGTTGCGTTTCTGGGAATGCCTGAAGGTAAATAACACTCCATCTAAATTATTTTGATATGCGGCGAGTTCTTGTCGTTCATCTCGATGTGATTGTACATTAAATGGAATACCTAACCTGGCCAGCCCCGCCCCCAACTGCCCCTCTGGGATCACGTCGGTTGTCGGTTGTCGGTTGTCAGCGTCATTGTCGCTGCAGTCGTCATTCTATCGTGTCGTCGATCTCGTTCGCAAATTATCTTTGTTTGCGAATTTGTTATTGTTTTTTATGCACAATTCAGCGGCAACAACAAGTTGTTTTTTTTTTTTCTTTTTGTATGAGTTAATGGTTTTTCAGTCGAGCGGGGCTTGTTCTTTGTTCTGCCCTGAACTGAACTAAGCCGATTCTGGACTCCGGTTGCCCCGCCGCAAGCCCACGCTTTCCCTGACCCGGCACAATTGTGGGCTGTGCGACAGTCATTAAATAGTTCGCTTGGCTCATTTCTCCTCTTTTTTAACAATAAAAATGTTTAAATGACAAAAGCAAAAACAAAAACCGTTCAATTAGCAAGTTTGCTGCACAAAAACAAAAAAACAAAATAACAATAAAAAGTTTCAGTGTCTTTCTGTTCGATTTTGTATGTAAAAACAAAAAATCATCTTACCATGACTTCTGCTGGCTGGGTTTTTGGGAATTCGGTCTTAAATGCCATGTGAACTGGCGTCTCATTACGCTCAGATCCATTGGAGGTCATGTGAACCAGTTGGACAAACACAATTGCACTCGAGGGCACAGCCGCCCAGTTGGCCAGCTCCAACAATGTGATCTGGGTAATTGTCACAGCCTCGCTCTTAAATCTCCCGAAGAAACGAAGCGGTTTCTTTGGTTGACACATAAAAATCTTTTCGCATTATCAACTTAAGAACATATTCTCTTATTCCTGCTTAACCTCATCTTGGTAAGCAGCTGCTTAGATCTTGTGTTCGACTGACTGATTGACCGACTGATTGACCGACTGACTGACTGATTGCTGACGTACAGCCCAAACTGTTGCAGCTAGGGACAGCAATTTGCAGCTGTAGCTACCTTATGTTAGTTTTCTGATTTTGCAATCGGAAATGCGGAAATTTACTGTCAAACGTTGCTTTTATCTATGATGTATCGTACGTGATGTAACGCCGCATTCCATGCATGAAATTTAGTTGAAAGTCAGTTTTCACATAAGTCTGTGAACATTCGCTGGAGACGTATTTTGCGCTTTTCTCAAAATCCACCTGCTGGATGGAATATGAGGGTCAAATGTTGTTAAGGGCGAAGGCTCAAGTTTCGTTCGATCGGGTTCACAGCCTATTTTCAGACACTTTTTGCTAAAAAGAAAAGTAAAAAGTATTTTTATTGCCCCTCTATGCAATTCTCATGAGTTTAAGTAAGGCATACAGGTTTTCATGCTTGAGTTTATGAGTGACATGCTTTGTGTGTTTATTTTGGGACTTTATATTGTGTGCATGTATGTATCTATATATGTATGTATGTATATATCTATATATGTATGTGTATGCACATAAAGTAAAGCGTTATATTTTTGTGTCAAGCATGAACATGAACAAAAGGGCACAAATATTAAACTGCAGCTTACATTTTAAGCGAGCAATGTTTTCAAAATGTTTCTTAAAAGTTGGCCCATTATGTACAAGTAGTAAAACCCGCAGTTGTTTTCTTTTTATGTCAAGCTCTTGCCAAAATGCTTGTTAACATTGACAGGAACAGGAAGTCCAGCTTACATATTAAATAAGCAATGTTTTCAAAATGTTTCCGAAAAGTTGGCCTATTAGGAAAAGTTTGATATCAGGTGCTTGCTAGCCTGTTTACTGGGAACTTGACCAGCTTTGGCCCGGCTGAGTCCCAGCAGCACTTAAAAGTCTCGAGCCCAAGTCTGGAGGTTGCACAATTACAGGTTTTATCTCATGGCAACAACAACACCTACAAATCATAAGGGGGGCACAGCTATTATTGGCCTACAACTTGCCTGCCCAACCCCAGCAGCAGTCCATTGTAAGGCTAATGGAATTTTAACGTCAGACGTCGTGGATAATACCCTCCCCCCCCCCCCTCCCATACAACCCCCTCGAATTGCTGGGTGTCCCAACCCCAGATAAAATGGGCGCGCTGGCTGATGCTCAAAATCCACATTGAATTAATGCGAATGCGAATGTGGATGAGAATGTGGCGCATGTTGCTAATGTGGCGCTTATTAGCGGGCGTGGAGCCATTCCAGCAAAAATATCCGCAACGCGTACGCGTCCTTGTTGCTGGCTAATCCACTGGAAACATCATTTTGAGCACCTGTTTAATTGCGTTAATCACCGGGAGCAAACATTATTCCCATCACCGTTGCCTAGCTGTTCCGCCTGATGATGTGCAATGGACCTTAAAGCGACTCTCCTCGCCCGCCTGGCCCGGCAGCAGCTGCAGGAGCAGGAGCTGGAGCTGGAGCTCTTCACATTAGAATGTTAATTTGATGTGTCTTCTAGCGCAGCTGGACAAAAGTATCATGTTGGGGTCATTAGCCGTGGAGTTTATGTCTCACTTTAAGATGCAACCAGTTAACCTGGGTATTCCTTTAAGATATCACAAATATCTACGCCAAGCGAAGGTCTGAAGTCGGAAGTCTGACAGATAAAAGCATTATGCACAAGCTTTACTTTTCAAGGATTGTACCTAGATTGTTTATGTTCATTAGCTGGACGCCTTTTGAAACTCGTTACAGTCCAAGTTATTCTGAAAAGAAAAATACATATTTTCGGCAGATTTTTCCTATAACAGCTCAACATATATAATATAGTTAGTAGTCCGATGATGATAAGCATTTGCCGTAAACAGTTGGTTCCAACTTTTCGTTCTTAATTTGATGGATTTTGAACTACTTTTAAAATAAACGGGCAGTTCAAGATAGTACGGACAGATTTACATTTTCACGGGCAGGAACAGGATGAAAAAGTTATAATTAAAATAATTAAGCACTAAACATGCCGCGGGCAATGTATGTATATGTATGTAGGTATGCATGGATGTATGTATGCATGTATAGATGTATGTATGTGTGTGTATGTGTATGTGTTTATATTTTTATGTATGTTTTTGTTTGTGTATGTGTGTGTGTGTATATGTTTGTATGTATGTATGTATATATGCATGTATGCGTGTGAGTGTATGTGTGTTTATGTTTGTATGTGTGTATGTGTGTATGTATGTATGTATGTATGTATGTATGTATGTATGTATGTGTGAAAGTATGTATGTAAGTATGTATGTATGTGTGGGTGTGTGTATGTATGTATGTAAGTATTTATGAATGTATGTATGTGTGTGCATTTATGCACGTATGTTTGAATGTTTGTTTGCATGTATATATGTATGTATTGCATGTATATATGTATGTATGTAACATACAAACAAACTGTATGTTGATTGTGTTTGAATATATACATATATATATATATATATATATTTATATACGTATGTATGTATGTACCTATACATGTGGATGTATATTAATATGAATATACATATGTACGTATGTATATATGTATGTGTGTGTGCATGTCTGTATGTATTGATGTGTGTAAGTATGTATATAATACGCGAGTATATATATATATATATGTAAATGTAAATGTATGTATGCTTAAATGCAACACCAAGTTTACCTAAGGCTGCGCTGCAAATTCAAATAAAACGTATTTTAACAAACTCCCTTCTACTCGATTCTCAAGAATTCAAGCAAGTCACAAAGGCTGGCGGAGGAGGCGGCTTCAACTGCGGAGGAAACGGCTTCAACTATGCGGGAGACGGCGGCTTTTACATTTGAGGAGGCGGCTTGAGCAATGGAGGAGACAGCTTCACCTATGCAGGAGACGGCGCCCTTAATATTGGAGGAGACGGCTTCAACTGTGCCGGAGATGGCGGCATTAAAATGGAGGAGACGACGGCTTTCATATTTTGAGGAGGAGGCTTCAACTATGCAGGAGACGGCGCGTTCAGTTACTGAGGATGCGGCGACTTGAGCCAAAGAGGATGCGGCGGTGTTTTGAATATTGGAGGAGACGGCGTCTATGATTTCGGCATCAATTTTAAATGTGACCATTGAAAAACTTGGTAAGTATTATTAATATGACTATGTAACGCATTTATAAATATTGCTCTTCTACGCGATTCTCACTAATTCAAGTACGGCTAATAAGCATAATCTCTGGTTCTCTGTACTTTCAGTGATGTGTTTATATATATAGAAGTTCCACTCCCGCCTCCGGATAGATAACTATAAAATAATCGCGTTTTTAATTAACGTTTGTGGCTCAAATAGGTCTGAGATCGACGGGTTCACGCATACGGACAGACAGACTCATTTGAGTTTTGGGCACATTAAAGCTGTCTGGCCCCATTGTAAAACCAAGTAGACCTTGTTAACAGTTGGCCGCATTCATTAGCTCAGCTCTTACATAAATAAATCCCAATTCGAAAAAGAAAACCAGAAAAATACTTACTGCCGCATTTCGAATATGGATGAGCGTTATGTCTTCAAGATTCTGATGCTGGGCGATGCGGGTGTGGGCAAGACGTGTCTGCTGCAGCGCTTTGTGGAGAATCGTTTTACCGGTAATTACAAGTGCACGGTGGGCGTGGACTCGAAGATACGGACCGTCGAAATCTCCGGGCACAAGGTGAAGCTACAGATCTGGGATACGGCCGGCGAGGAGCGCTACCGTTCGATGATGAGCTCCTATTACCGACACGTTCAGGGCATCATTTTGGTGTTCGATACAACGCGTCGCCGCAGCTATCAGAGCGTGGACTACTGGCTCAAGGAGATTGACAAGCATGCGGCGACAAATGTGCGCGTCCTGCTGGTGGGCAACAAATGCGACGCATTCCAGGGCCGTCAGGTGTGCCAACAGTCGGCGGCCATCTATGCCGAAAGCCTGGGCGTCGCCTATGTGGAGGCCTCCGCCGTCACTGGCGCCAATGTGGAGCGTCTGTTTGCCAATCTGGCGGTCAATATATTCGATACACACGTGGAACGCAATCGGCCGGGCACAGTCTTTCCGGCTGAAGACAAGGATGCTGTTACTCTTAAACAAGCCACTGGAATACGCGATTTCTGTTGCTAAGCTTCAATTATGCTCTTCTCTCTTTTGCTTTTATTACATTGAAATTGCATATTACACCCCTCTGCCCCCACACACACACATACACAGCCGCCCGCACAACCAAAAACTGCCCCTGTTTCGGCAAAGGCAATCAAAGCATGCGCCAATTGCCCGGCAACAATTTGCTTGGGCTTACTTTGATGTCCTGACCCCCCCCCCCCCCCTCTCGCCCAGCAGCTCGTTAAACTGGACGTCGATCTAATCCGTGTGGGCCACAAACTATTTACATTTGTCTACAGTTTGGTCAAAGCGTTCCTTAAGTGGCCAGTATTATTTATATATAATTTGTTTTATTTTTAACAGATTGCTTAACTCAAACTTATGTGTATTGAGTTGTATATCAAAAAAATTAATAATCGTTAGTAAAAATATATGAGCAACTGCAATCGTTGGTGTCAATCATTTTGCAGTGTATATATGTATGTGTATATGTGTATGTATATGTATATGTATATGTATATGTATATTCGAGCTAAAGTTGCATGTACGTTTTCTTTCTTTGTTAAATTGCTTGTGGCAGATAAATGCAAAGCCGGACGTAACTACAGCTGATCTAAGCATACCATATCATAATACATAATAATAATACATCATTTATACAACAATAATAATAATCAACATGCGCCGCATTTGGCTAAGCTACTAGCAAAAGCATTGCAAGTGACTCGTGTGATGAAACGTATGTTAAATGGTAATCTGGGCGAGGATTGGGTTCCAACTAATTGCTGAACTTAACATCCAGCCATGTACAATAATAAATGTTTAGCATTAACAGTAAATAAAACTACGTGTTCTAGTCTAGCTTAGATTGCTTTTCATCGGGCTCCTGCTGCTGCTCCGGCTGCTGCTCCGGCTGCTGCTCCGGCGGCTGCAGTGCACCATTGCTGCGCGGGGCTGCAACAGCTTTGGGCCAATCGATATTCGCCAGGCCCGCGTATTTGGCAAAGACTTGCCTAAGGCGTAGGTACAAGCCCTCTTGACTGATTGTCGGCAAATTGATGGCCGCGTATGACCAATTCTTGACCACCAGACTGGGCTTGCAGGTTATCATATTGATTTCGGGCAAATAACGCTCCGGATAAATTGTGTCAGTGGGCTCCATTAGCATTTGGTTGAGCTGATGCGGTGTACGCACCACCACCTGGCCGCCGGCCTTCACCTGCTTGTAGATCTCGCTCATGTGGCGATAATACTTATGCGACAGCGAGCAACGGCAATTGATATCGCTGATCTTCAAGATGCGCAGTTCGCGCAGCGCATGCTGCAGGCTCAAGCGGCACTCGGTGACTGTGTGGCAAGCAATTGAGAATTTATTAGAGTTGGCTGCTTTGTGCTTGACATATTTAGCTGCTTACCGGTGGCATCAAGCTGCTTGGCAACATGCAGCCAGGCACTGCGCTTCTCCATGGTGCTCGACTTGCCATAGGTTTTCGGATGGCAGCGCAGCAGACGCGTCAGGTGATACGCATCCATGTTCGGTAACGTGCGTGGCTCGCCGGCCAAATGCTTGACCAGTTCGTTAACAGTTGGCTGTGTTTCCATGTGTGCATGCTCCGATTCATCTGGCAGTGGTTGTTCCTCCATCCTCTCCAGCTGCAACTGCTCTTGCTGTTCCTCCTGCTGCTGCTGCTGCTGGAGCTGCTGCAGCTGCTGCTGTTGCTGCTGCTGCTGCTGCTCTGATTGCTGCGGCCCTTTGTTGAAGAAAACCAATATCTCTTGAACTTTGTTCTCGCCATTTAGCAGCCGCTTCGCCTCCTCTGTCTCCCAGGGCATTGGCGCATTGTTTGCCACCACTTTGCCCTGCGAACTGTCGACATTTGGCTGCATTAGCGCCTCGTACATGCTGCAGCGTTTCACCTCCTCCATGAACTTGTTGTGCACAATGTAGTAGTACGGCTCCAAGGGATGATAGCGCACATTCACAAGAAACTTCAGCTGCTCCAGTGCATGCCACCAATTCTGCGGCCAGGGATTCTCAATGCCGCGCTCCAAATCCTCCATATACGTCTTGAAGGCAAACTTAAACATGGACCAAACGTCCCGATGATTCACTGTCAAGCAGAAAGCAAGAAAAATAATTAAAATTAACGCCCCAATCCTGGCCAGCTGGTATACCTACTGTGCGGAAAACGTTCACGCGCCACACGCCACACCTCCTGACGCTCCTGGTCGGTGTATTGGCGCGGCGATCGACCTGGATTGGACTCTCCTGGTCGTGGTCGGCGCATATCCCAGTATAAATAATCGTACTTTTCAAAATGATTCATCAGCGCCGGCAGTTGATCCTTGTGCAGCATCCAATTATATTTGCGCGCTATTTCGTCAAATTTGCTGAACAAACGATGCGACTTCTCCCACACCCTCATACCGCCCTTGAAGGGACGCATCAGCTCCTCCATGGGCGCTATTGTCGGAAACTGGTTCATGTTATTCGCAAGAAACTGCCAGATTGCGCGACATAATTGATCTGTAATAGGCAAAGGACATCAATTTTAATTGTGCATGGTCGGCTGGGAGATACCCATTATAAGGTGATATTTAGGCAAGTGCAAAAAGGTATTTAAATAGTAAGAAATCGTTGATCTTAATGTCATATTTGTTGATCGATATTTATCGATTTTAAAAACCGAGTTAAAATCGATATTTATCGATTTAGGGGAAAATCTCAGAAACAGTTACTGACAATCGATATTTATCAATGTTGGGAAATATGAAAAAGTTATCAAAAAGTTGTAGCGGAAAATCGATATTAATCGAATTCGGAGGATCGGCGGCAGCTATCGATTATTTAGAAGAAAACAAAAAAAAAAGTGAGCATAGCACCTTAAGCCAACACAGAGAAACGGTATGGCTATTGATGGAGATGCCTTCGCACAGCTAAACGATACCCTCTACTAAACCATTTTTATTGGGTATGCAGGAATAGAGAAAAATGGGGAAAAAATAACACTTGCCTGAAATGTGAAACCTTTTGGCTATTTGCTGCCAGATAACTGAGTTTTTGCCCGACAGCGGGTTATCCGCGGAGTGCAGCTGCGGTATGGCCATCACCTCACGTATAAACACCGCGGTGCGCGCCATAGTCAGATTCGGGGAATAGGGCACCGCGGTGCCCTCCGCATGCAGAACGCGTCCAGTTTGGGCACAATCACGGAACTCAATCTTGATTTTGGGCATCGGCGATGGCTGCTTGTCATTTGGGACGATCACATTCGATGGACAGCTGACAGTGATTTTAATGCTATTGCTGGGCTGGGTCGGGCTGCGAACATCATCCCAGCCGCTATTCAGCGGGGTCTGAGGCTTTCTGCCGAGCGTTGTTGGCGTCAGCGCTGGCAGCGGCATTGATGTGCCCCACGGCTTGGGCAGCATGCTCACCGATGGCAATGCCACCTTGTCGTTGCGCACGGTCAGCGGCACCAGCTTGGGCAATGGCGGCACCAGCTGCGGCAACGCGGTCGTTGTCGATAGTGTTGCTAGCATGCCGGGCACATTGGTCACATTGGTCGCCTTGGTGGTGAGTGCTGCCGGTGCCGGTGGCGGTGCTGTGGCAACTGCCGCGACAGGTGTTACGGGTCGTATGGTGGTGCCGGCGATGCTGTTGCCGCTGATGGTGTTGCCGCCGATGCTGTTGCCGCTGATGGTGTTCGTCGGGATGCTGCTGCTGATACCGGGCGTCATAATTGGCGTCAGTGGCAGACGCATTTTCGGACGCACCATTACCTGCAGGCCGGTTCGCAGTGGACTCGGCCGCACGCCGGACACGGTCGCCAGCTGCACCGTGGCCGGTATTGGCAATGGCAATGGCATCGGCATCGGCAACGGCATCGGCAACGGCAACGGCAACGGCAATGGCTTGGGTATTATGCTCACAAAGCTGCCGTTCGGCGTATTAGCAGCTGGCAGCGCTGTCGTTGGTGCTGTTGCTGGCGTTGGGGGCTTGGGCACCACGCTAATGGCCGCTGTGATGCGGGGAATGGCGAAGCCGGAGGTACTGGGGCTGCTGCTGGTGCCGCTGCTGCTGTTGGTGCTGGTGATGCTTGTCGTGATGCTGTTGCTGACGATGCTCGTCGTGATGTTGCTGCTGCTGCTGATGGGAATGGCCGTAATGGTGGAGGTTGCCCTCGTGGTCGCCGGATAGACAATGGCCAGTGGCAGCGGTGGCGCTGCCTGTGGCGGACTATACGCAGGCTTCGACGCCAATCTCTGCCAGTCGCGAGCACTGGGAGCACTGGAAGCACTGGGCTTAACGCTCACTGGCGCGGTTGATATCAACTTGGGCGGTGTGGCGCCAGTGGGCACAATGGGGGCGGCACGTTTTTGGCCACGTCGCGTCGAGCGTGCGCCCAACAGCTTGTACAGGCAACCAATGATGTTCTCAAAGAACCATTTGTCCTGCAGCTGATAGCCAACTTTACGCATCTCGGCCAGCTCCAGGTAAAAGTTGCGCAACACCAGCCAAGTAACCTCGCAGCGTTGATGGCTGCAATTCACCTGCGCCGAGACGCGCAGCCAGAGCTCATGATATCGCGCTGGCTTCAGTGCGCTATCCTGGTAATCATCCACCATCTGCCCAAGCTCGGGCATTGTTTTTAGCACATTGATCAGATTCATGACGCTGCGGAAATGCTCAATGGGATCAAACCAGGCGTCCTGCAGATACATCGACATCTTGCATACGGTGCCGTGTGTATTCTGTATGTGCGGCGACAGAAAGCTAAGCTGCTTCTTCAGCTTTGGACTGGTGCCAGTGGAGTGCGTCACCTCCCACTCGTAGCGTGTCTTTAGCTGCAGCCAGATCTTCATTAGCTTCGTTGCCTTCTCGTGCAGCTCATTGGATATGGCTCCCCAAATGAGTCCGCGATGACGATAGTTGTTATAGCCCTCATGCTGCGTATCATACAGCTGTGGATAGGCACGCACGGCATCAACTAGACGATCCTGATCGGGGCTAATCTTATACTGTTCGCAATAATCCGCATCAAGATCTATAATGTCAGCGGGTTGTGTTGGCACAATGGTCACATCATCGTCCACACTTGACTGCTCTACATTTAATACCTCGCCGGGCTGCTCGCACTGCAGCGGTTGCCGTGCCACGTGCGTGTAGAGGAACAGCATATCCTCCTCGTGCAGCAAGGTGGGGCGTGGACGCGTTAAACTGCGACACGCCTGCACCTGCCGGCGATATCGGCGCATGCGGCGCACATGACGCTGATATTTATAGCGCAGCTCCGCCCAGGTACTCATGCATTTGGTCAGTTCCAAAGACAATTCTCGCGCAATATTTTGCCACAACTGCTCCTTGAAAACGTCATCGTTGAAGCGCCGATGGCGCCTATTATAGAGGGCAGGTTGTTTGCGCACCAGCCGTATGAGCCGGCGTTCCGACAGATACGCTTCCAGATTGTAGGCGGGCGTTCTGCTGGCATAGGAGGCGACATCATCGCTACCGCTGCGCGGAAAATGCATTACCGGACTTATTGAAAAGTCCATGATCTCCTCATCTAATTCAGATGTTTGCGTCTCTTCGGTTATATCTATAAATACAATAATGCTTTCTATCTGTACGGCATGCTATGTATCTCAAGAGCAGCTCACCCAAAATCTCCAGTGGATTTCTCTCCTCATTCTTTCCGCCTCTTCGCACAGGTATCGCTGGCTCCTCCATTGTTATATATACAACTTATGTATATATAAAACACACTTTGCGTACACTTCTCTACCGGCCGTATGGCTAATCGCGTGGTTTGGCCAAATGCCGTGTGTGGCCAACAGAAAAAAAAAAAAAGAAACCAACAACCAAACATCAAAAACCAGACGCAAACCCAAATTTAATGCATCCCAGTGGTCAATTCAACAGCGCCGCACACAGCACATCATTGGCGCACAGATTACGGACAATTCGACCATAATTCGAGAGCAACGCATTATTATTGTATTAAAATAAAATAGCGCTGGCAGCCAGCATGTGTGTGAATTTTCGTTGTGACGCTTTGCGTGTGCGACTTTTGCGCGCAGGGTAAGAACAATTCTGCGATTAAGCAGCGTTCCAACTTATCGCATGGCCATATATATATATCGATAACAATTGCCTGTGTTGGACAACTATCGGCGGCACGTGTGCTTGTGCGCACTCAATTGACATAATTTAAATTCAATTATTACACTTTCAATAAAATTACTATTCAGGCCTGCAAAAACCGCCTGATTTTCCATTTAACGCTTTGCATATGGGTCTTGGCATAAACTGCAATAATATGCGAATTATTATCGAAAATACACGATGTTGCGACAACATCAAAAACCAGACGAGAACCCAATTTTAAATGCCAATTGCCTGTGTTGGACAACTATCGGCGGCACGTGTGCTTGTGCGCACTAATTGACATAATTTGAATTCAATTATTACACTTTCAATAAAATTACTATTCACGCCTGCAAAAACGACCTGATTTTGCATTTAACGCTTTGCATATGGGTCTTGGCATAAGCTGCAATAATATGCGAATTATTATCGAAAATACACGATGTTGCGACAACATCAAAAACCAGACGAGAACCCAAGTTTAAATGCCAGTGGTCAATTTAACTGCGCCGCACACTGCACATCATCGACGCACAGATTGCAGGCAATTCGACCATAATTCGAGAGCAACGCATTATTATTGTATTAAAATAAAATAACGCTGGCGGCCAGCATGTGTGTGAATTTTCGTTGTGACGCTTTGCGTTTGCGACTTTTGCGCGCAGGGTAAGAACAATTCTGCGATTACGCAGCGTTCTAATTTATCGCATGGCTATATATATATATATCGATAACAATTGCCTGTGTTGGACAACTATCGGCGGCGCGTGTGCTTGTGCGCACTAATTGACATAATTTGAATTCAATTATGACACTTTCAATAAAATTACTATTCACGCCTGCAAAAACGACCTGATTTTGCATTTAACGCTTTGCATATGGGTCTTGGCATAAACTGCAATAATATGCGAATTATTATCGAAAATACACGAAAATACTACCACTAACTATACAATGTATACTTAACATAATTTGAATTCAAATATTACACTTTCAATAAAATTACCATTCAGGCCTTCAGACAGCCTGATTTTGCATATGGGCATTGACATAAACAGCAATTATATGCACATTATTATCGAAAATATATGATATTGTGACCGTGTGCATAAGTCACCTGACCCGATGCGTCTCGGCATCCACAGCCGCCGAGACTAGAATTCGTAATTGCTTCTCTATTAGAATTCGTAAATTCTATCTGATTACATGTGTTGTTTTTAATTTGCGAATGTGATGATCGCAGATCACTTAAAAACAAGTCCAACAGTATAAATATGCATTAATCCGTTTCAAATTATGCGCGAAAAACTAGCACGATGCTAAGAATTTGCAGCTGTTAAATTCAAAATGGCGAAAGTATTTTGTTTTAGTTGGGATTAAAGAATTAAATTAAATGAAAGATCGAACAGAAACTTTCGCTTTTATTACATTATTAATTAAAATTTGTAAAAATTAATAATTATCAATACAATCAATATCGTGTGATAGTCCCTTCTGAAATATATGTCAATATACTAAATATTAATCAAAATATACATATTTTTTAATATATACGACTGAATTGGTATATCTTTTAGGTATATCTATTGGGCAATGATAGTTTAATGAGTTGTCTAAGTGAGCCAGTCCTTAAGGACAACAAGGATGCGGCTCGAATCGGAATTAGTATTCTCTGGGACTAGAGACTAATAATATATATGTTAAGTGAACAAGCATATCAATAAAAACATATTTAGCCTTGACTTTGGCTACTCGTTCTATTAGCCAGTCGTCTAGTCTAATGTTTTGATACTTTTCTAATGACCGAATGATGAGCACAGAAGCCATTCAAGCTGGTTTAAGCATGCGTATCTCACACACTTTATGTCCGAACTAATAGACCTTGTTGTTATGCACGAGATGAGCCAATTTTCAGAAATTAATCATTGGGTTGGCTTTGCAGTCAGAAATGTATTAACCGGCTATCCTTGGCACTGACTGCGATCGTTGACAGTAAGGCCCAGCTGCCATATGCCAGGTCTCTGTATGCAAAAAACCAAAGCCCATTTCAATGATTATTTATATAAAGAAAGGAACAAATATAAATTGAACAAAAAAAACTTGACCAATCAAAATGACGGCAAGAAAGGTGTGTGGCAGCCACGGCGGGCGGCACCAAGAAACGTGTTTCCATGGAAAGCAGAAATACATAACAATAATCATTCTTGTCAGGGTCAGTTGTTTAAAACTATGTGTATATACATATAAGTAAATTACGTATACGTAACCGAAACGCATCACAGGAACATAAAGAACAGAGACAAAGCATTGTGAAATACTCGAGCAAGGCATTCAAGATAATTATATAATAATAAAACAAAAAGTGTACTACTCATCAAATATGTTTGTTATAGTAAATCTTCGTTTTGGACAAATGTATCAGCGTTTGGTTCTGGTTTCCAGTTTCGAACTGCTTTAGACTAAATATTTAGTGTGTGTTACTTACCTAACTCAAGCGATCAACAGTTTTAGGGCTTCCCCATTCATACAGGTTATTCAAATGGTTTTTTTTTCCCTTTCTGTTTTTTGTTTGTTTTGTTTCTAAAAACAACCCAACTGAAACTGGATTCTTTGTGGCTGTAAGTGCAGTTAGCACGTCTTTAGCTTTTATACAAATTTAGTTCAAACAAAATACCCCGCGAGCAGCTAGGCTCTGCAGGCTATAAAAAGCACAAAAGTCAATGTCTATAAATAGAGCATAGAAAGGGAAGACAACATAACATATATGTTAGGGGAAAAGCCTATTAGCTGTCTAATCGACTTAGAAACAGCTAAGAAATAGAAAATAAATGCAAACGTTGCAGAATATAACCAGGGCTACGCCGCTCTTCAATGAACCAAAACAATAATAATGAACTTATAAATATTAATTTGAAAGTAAAAAAAAAAATGATTGAAAATCTCAAATTAAATTACATAAAGAATCGATTTACCCAACGCAACAGGGCTATTGTTTGTCTAGATTCGATTTGGTTTGAGCTCATATAATTAAGATACATATGCATATTCATTTATGTGCTGAAAATTTGTTAATATCAAAGTATGATTTCCATATATTAAATAAATTAGATCGTGTGATTCGCTAATGTTAAACGAACCGCAACTGATATTGAACATTAAATTTGAATTCGAATTCGAATTCGTTTTCGATTGCTTTCCAACTCTGGATAAGCGTCAGCGTCGCAGTCGCAGTCGCCTTCGCTGCTAGCGTTGCGGCGTCGCGGCGTCTTTGTTGTTGTTGTTTCTATACGCGTTGCTTGCTCCGTTATCGCAGCGATTGTCGGTCGTCGACGTCAACGTCGACGTCGTCGTCATCAGCTGTCTTCGTGTGTTGCCTGCACTGAGTGCTTGTTGCTGTTGTTGTTGTTGTTGTTGTTGTGGATTTTGCTGGGTGTTTGTTCGGCACCTCGAATTGCCGCCGCCAAAACATAGCCAATTCAGTTTGAATTCTGCCTTCAAGCGCTTTAGAACAATCATATAAAAACTTGGCTTGAATTATCTTTATACAATTTGTTTACACTGAAATTCTCTCTCTCTCACTCTCTCACTCTCTTTCTGTCTCTGTGTGTTCGTGCGTGTGTTTGAGTGTTGGTAAAGTTTGTTTAAAGAAATTATTAACTCAGTTGTTGTTTCTTTATTATTATTATATTTGTCAATTTTGTTTTGTTCTTGCTGTTTGTTGTAATTTACTTTTCCAGAGAGTTGCATTTGCAATTTTAATTTAGCGCATAGCTAATTTCCACTGAATTATTATATATTATTTTGTTGTTGTTTTTTTGTTTTTGTTTCTGTCTTTCTATTTACATTTTGTGATCGTGAACCCAAAAAAAAAAAAAATAAATAAAGAAGGAAAGAAAAATAGATGCACCACAGCAAACACCAGGAGTAAATTATTATTGTTGCTCATCCTGCTCGAATTTCAGAGCCAAATAGCGCGAAGAGCGATAAACGGTCCAGAGCACATAGACCAAAACGAAAGCCCAGGAAGCCATGTGCACCTCCCCGGTGGCCCACCAAATGTCATCCAGCATGTCCTCCGGCAAGATATTGCCCCGTCGTCAGGCGATACCCGTACTCTACACGCGTGGTACTCACTATGAGGTCGGCTTCGATATGGTAAGCAACAGCTCCTTACTTAGTCCTTTGACCTTTCAATCAACCCCCAACAACAACAACAATAACAGCCCGTTGGCAATGTCACGCTATCTTCATTGAAGGTCCCCAACACACTTGAGAAAATTAACTGAATTTATTAGTTTAGTTGTTTTGATCTAAACTGAAAATTTTACTATTTTGATTTTTTTTTTATTTTTTTTTTTATGTTATAGTTTGTTTTGTTGTTTTTGTTTTGTTTGTCTTTTTTTTGAGTACTTTTACTTGGCTATGACGACAATTGGGTGGAAGTGAACTGAAATTATAAGTTAAGTAGCAAAATTGATGGGTAGCGCTCGGCTATAGCGATAATGAGCGGAATTATTGATGTATCTAATTAAATATTAACTAATTATTAACCCATGCCACTTGCTTAGCTTTTTAGTGCATTACAAAACAAGCAAGTAAGAGGTTCTAGTCGGGAGCTCCCGACTAGGGGATACCCTGAACCCTCTTCTTCCAAAAGGCGATAGGTATAAAATGAAAGATACTTGACATATATACATATATACTATTCTAAAAGCCACAAGTCAAGTTTGGTGACAATTGCTCAAAAAACAGGATGTCGATATCGATTTTTATCGATTACTTGGCAACGGGGCAAGTTATCGAATATCAGAAAAATCTGCGCGGGCACTAGGAGGACCTACAGCTAAAATTTCAAGTCTCTAGCTTTTATAGGTTCTGAGATGCGTTCATACATACGGAAGGACGGACAGACGGACGGACGGACAGTCGGATACACAGATGGACATGGCTAGCATCGACTCGGCTGTTGATGCTGATCAAGAATATATATACTTTATGGGGTCGGAGATGCTTCCTTCTGCCTGTTACATACATTTGCACAATTACATAATACCCTTTTTACCCATTTTCAATGTGAGGGAAATTGTTTTTGTGCTCATCTAATTGGAAATTGTCATTCAAGCTGAAAATTTAAATAAACTGTGAAATTTCCAATTAATATTAGGCATATATACTTAAGATCGCGCATGCAATTCATTTAAACGAATTCTAAAATTAAACGAAATATATAAGCTAAAAAAATAAAGCGAGAAAGTGAGGATATTTTCGGCACGCCGAAAATTAAATACCCTAACAGACATTTCCCTTTTTGCAGATTTGGGAGCATAGTAAAGCTTGTAAATGCTGAGTTTGATGAAAATAATGCGGAAAACGGAATATTTTGTCATACATAAACTCATTTTTCGACCGATTCATTCTATTGATCTATATATATTGACCTATCTATATATATATAGTCGTGCAATATAAGATTGGGCTTATATATAAAGCAGCATAGTTTAAACAGTAAATGATATATCTTGATAAGAACAAAGTTTTCCACACGAGAACCTACTTTTCGACCGATCTTTTCTATGGCAGCTATATGATATAGGGTTCCGGTCCTACATAAATATTCCTGCAACAAAAAGAAAGACCTATGCAGAATTTCAAGACTGAAAGATAAGTTCTTAGAGTAACAGACAGATGGACATGCCTTTATCCAGCTATATCTATAGCTATATCCTAGGTCCTGATCATGTATATGTATACCTTATGGACTCGGAGATGTTCCATTCTAAGCGTTACACATTCCATGACAAGATTATAATACCCTCCATAACCCTTGTATATATACATATAGCAGGCAATATATTATAATAGTTTTGCTGTAAAAGATCGCGGAACCCGTTAGTAACGTTTATCATGTCATTATTTATACATATTTAATCAGCCGCTGTGCTCTATATGTTATTAACATGAATTCGATGGGTTTTACGAGAGATTCTGACGCTGACTTTTATATAAAAATCTTTCTAGATTTGCATCTTTCTGTGTGTGAACTTTGTTTAATTCGCAAAGCGCGTCTCTCTCTCCCTCCCTCTCCCCCTCTCTCTCTCTCTCTCTCTCTCTCTGTTATCAGTAGGTGCAATTACAGCTACATATAGTCGACACATAGGCCTGAACACATAAAGATAAAATGGTCCTGATAAGCGTTTATACGATTGGACTAGTATAGTTGCTTGTTATTTTTATACCCTAAACCCATTGAAAAAGGGTAAGAAGGGTATTATGTATTTGTGCAAATGTATGTAACAGGCAGAAGGAAGCATCTCCGACCCCATAAAGTAAATATATTCTTGATCAGCATCAACAGCCGAGTCAATTTAGCCATGTCCGTCTGTCTGTCCGTCTGTCCGTCCGTCCGTCTGTCCGTCTGTATGAACGCAAGGATCTCAGAACCTATAAGAGCTAGAGACTTGAAATTTTAGCTGTAGGTCCTCCTGGTCCCCGCGTAGATCGAGTTTGTTTCGATAACTTGCCCCGTTGCCAAGTTATCGATTAAAATCGATATCGAAATCCTGTCTTTTGAGCAATTTTGGTAAATAATATGAGCTAGAGTCACCAAACTTGATATGTAGCTTCTAGAATAGTATATATATATATCAAGTATCTTTCGCCTGTTGGAAGAAAAGCGGTTCAGGGTATCCCCTAGTCGGGAGCTCTCGTCTAGAACCGCTTACTTGTTCTTTTTTTTGCCATTTCGTGACCCAGTTCCTGTTTAACCTTCACTCAAAACTAACACTCACTCACACTCACACTCGCACTCAAAATGAACAATCACTCACTTGTTCGCTTTGAGCCGGAATCGGTGGCAAAAAAAAAAAAAAAATGGCCAATATCAAGGGCGTAGCAGACAGCAACAATTGGCCCGGAATTGAACCGTCAGTCAGCCAATTGAGAGAGGGGTTTGGAGTTGGGGCAGGTTGAGGGGTTGGGGTGTTGGGTTGGCCCAACCAAGTGCTGCCAGCATAGTCGTGTGGTCGGTCGTCGTCCGGGGTCTGGACCTACTCCTTCTCGACGTCCCCGCACATAATTAACAAGCTGGCAACAATATCGACTAACAATAAACCATTATTCATAATGTTGTTTTTAGCGTATCGTTTTGTTTGTTTGCCCTGTCGATCAGTCGTGATCGATTATGGTTTTTTTTTAACTTATTTTTTACTTATTTTGTTTGTATTTTTTAAAATATATTTTTTGTTCAGCAGCAGCATATTAGCATACAATACGTTAAAAGAGGGCAATTTGCAAACGGCGCTCGAATCAAATATTTAGAAAGCCGCTCGGAATTCAATTCAAATATTTATAATTAATCATAATAATGGACATTATACAAAAAATATACATAATTGCTTTGCAGGGTCGCACTTTTGGCTCGATGATCAAGAACTTTCTGATCTTATCGCAGCCGCTGAACGAGACCTACTTGCCGCTCTATGGCACCGCAAAAGGCAGTGAGTACTCCACGGACCAAAGTGCTCTTCACCACCTGGCTGTGAATCATTCGTGTTCATTTTCTATTCTTTTTTCTTCTCTTATATGTATATTTTTGGTGTTGCAGGGCAAATCTACAACGAGACGCTCGAATCGGTCAAAGGCAGCTTTCCGCAGTACATACGCGAATTGGAGGGCGTGGCCGATGGCGCCGAGGTGGAGTTCCATAAGGTGAGCTGTCTCTATTTCTCTAGATAATGCCTGCAAAATACCCCCCCCCCTCCACTACCCCTACCCCTACCACCACGCAACATCCCCTTCACCTCAATACCCTGCAAATTGTGTAATAATTAGCACTAGCCCCTGCCGTGGACAATTAAGTGGCCATTAAAACAAAAGCACAAATGCATAATAGCTTAATTGTTTTATTTTTCGTTTTTATTGTTATACAAAATTATTGGTTTGCGGGGGCGGCGCCGGCAAACCTCAACTTGAACATTCTAACGGTGAAGCTAATGCCAAAGTCGTTGCGTGTCGAGTTTGTTGGATTCTTTTTTTTTGCCGTTGCAAGTTGTCAATTCAATGACAACACCAAATACAATTTGCTCAAATATTCACACATAATTGTACACAAGAATATGTGTATATATTTATATATATATATATATATATACATGTATTTAAGAACAATTACAATTTGCACTCGACCATAATGCATAATATAAATATAATTATTTATATGATATGTTAAAAAGGCAAACAGCTGCAATTGTTTTCATTTCATTTTTTAATTAAAAATAAATATTTGAGCTTCTTTTGTATTATATTTTCACACCTTTCAAAGATTTTGAACAAAACCAAAAAGCAAAAAAGCTGAAGTTAAACGCGAAAGCAAAGATATCTTCGGCAAGCCGCAGATTGAATACCCTTCCAGACATATTTCTTTTGCAGATATAGTTTGCCATACATCATTTTGCGAGCGATTCTTTCTAAAGAGCTATATAATAAAGCATTGCGATCTTGATAAGATAAAGAAGTTTCTTATAGAAGAATCTACATAAGATTTTGCATATAAAGATACCTTAGTAAACAAAACAGATTGCCATATAAAAAACCTTCTATTCGACCGATCTTTCTAATGACAGCCATATGATATAGTGATCCGATCTGTACTGCCTGCAACAGAAAGACGAACCTATGCAAAGTTTCAAGAAGGTAGCTTTACAACTGAGAGACTAGTTCGCATGGAAACAGACTAAAGGATAGACGCACATGCTTATATAATGATCTAGAATATATATATATATATATCCTTTGTGGGATCAGAGATGTCTTCTTCTATGCGTTACACATTTCATGACAAAAGTTTAATATCCTCTGCAAGGGTACATTGTACATTTGAAATTTGTCTTAAATGCTTGAGTTACGATTACTTTCCTTTCACATTACATTACACTGTAATAAGAAGAAGAAGAAGACAATACATTCACAGAACTAGAAACTGTAATATAAATAATCGAAATTTTGTCATTGAACTAGTTCCGTTTTCTTGGCATTGTTGAATGTGCTTGCATTGACTATTTGGTAAGCCAATTTGTCCAAATACGCGCAACCCCATCAAGTGATGGAAAATCAATTGCAATTGAACAAATAAATGAGATTAGCTGGTCTTGGCCAAGTCCAGAACAAGTTCAGGTGCAAGGGCTTGCGTTGGCTTTTGCGCTGTTGCATTGGTCTCTAGCTTTAAGCCATCGATTTATGTGCTCATTAGCAAGGCAAATGCGGTTGCTAAGACCCAAGGAATGCGTTGCTGCACATTATGTGTTATAAATTGTATTTTTTTTTTTTTAAATTTTTGTATTTCATCTAAGCAGTTGGCCAATTAAATGCACGCAAACCCGTATCAACCTTGGCCACCTACCGCTGCTGGTGGCACTGTCGATGTCAGCTTATCAGCTTATGATGCCGTTTAGAATTGCTCGAATTGCATAATTAATTACATATCGAATTAGCAATAATTATTGTCGTTTAGCATATTTTCAATTAAACTGCCAATTGAATTGTTTTGCATATTCATATTGAAAAATCAAGTTTCAAGTGCGCCAAGATTCTCATAGAATAACATCCCAAAATTACTTTCCCCTTGCAAATACTGTGGAATACCAAAATTTTTGAAAGCCTGGTCACTGAACGCCCCGCCCCGTACGTGCTTTTCATAATAATTAATCATTTATTATTTTATTTGCCATATTTTGAGCACCATTAAATGGTCTTTAAACCTCAGCTTACCAAAAACAACAGCACAAAGCCAAATGCAATTAATCATTGGGCGAAAAAAAAAAAAAACAAATGAATCACTCTGTCAACGGTCAAAGATTTTCAATTGTCGATTACTATACTTGCCTATCGCTTAATCCTGTCGATTAATCGTCAAGGCGATTGAGTCCCAGCTCAATAACCTATCGAACATACTGCGATAACAATAATATTAACGGTTATGGGCAACGCTCAACGCATCTCTTCAACAGTTGTTCTTGCTGCACCTGGACGAGATCTTGCCACAGGCTGTAAAACATCAGCCACGCAGCAAAAACCAACCGACCGGCTGCTCCTCGATTATTGTTAACCATAAGCATTGCGTAAGTACATATAAATATGTTTATGGATATCTTTACGTGATCTGATCCGTTGTCTGCAGCGTCTGCTGGGCCACACGGAGGACGCGCTGACGGAGACGCTTAATCATTACTACTTTGTGGTGGCGCACATCATCAGTGACAAGCCGCAGGGCAAATATAATGTCAAGGAGGAGCATTTTATGTCGCTCTGCTATGCCGGACACCTGCCGGGCTATACCATGAGCCATAATCATCATGGTCTAGTGTTTAGCATCAACACAATCAGCGCCGAGCTGTTGCGCAGCGGCAAGACACGTAAGTGGATTGAAGCCTTTCTCACTTAATGCTGTTTATATTTGTTGGTTAATTGCTGGCAGCTCGTCATTTTCTGACACGGGCCTTGCTCGCCGCTAGCAACGTGGACGATGCCTTCAGGGTGCTTACGGATGCCGGCGTGGGCGCTGCCGATGCCTGTTCCATAAACTTTTCATTTTTGGCGTAAGTTAGCGGCTTTTTTGTAAGTCAGTCGATCAAATATATATTATGCCTGCAGCGATCCGCGTCAAATGTTTTACAACGTGGAAATGGCACCAAATCCGGACCGGAAGAATGAGTCACACCTGAGCATCAAGGAGGTACCGCTGGGCGCGCATAACTACCATGCCAATCAGTACGTAGCGCCCCATTAGGCACCTGATATGTGCGTAACTCTGGTATTTGATTTGCACAGATTTGAGCACATACACTTGGACCAGGCCAATGAGCTGATGTTGGAGTCCAGCGTCTCGCGGATGCATGCGTTTAGTAAATACAAGCCGCCGGCAAGCGAGCATGATGTTCGCAATATGCTGGGAGATGTCACTGGCGGCTGCTTTTGCGTGTGGCGCGACAATGGCAGATGCGATGAAGTGGTCAAAACAATATCTGTTGGCCTGTTCGATTTGAATGCCAAAACCTTTTCACTCTACTCCGATAATCCGAGTCTCACCGAGCCACACTGCACGTTGCCCCTGCTTTACAAATAGTTGTACAATTAATATAAACATCGCTTGTACTTATTTGTTATGAAAAAAAAAAATAGCAGAACTGTTTGTGCGTCTAGCTAAAATTTAAACCATTGGGGATCAGTTATTATCATATATTTCAAAAGTTATATATCTCTATATACTACTATATGTATATATATATATTTTTTTTTTTTTTGGTCTAAGCAAAAGTTTATATATGCCTAATTAAAGAAGTTTTAACTTAAAATGTGTTTCAAATGTGTTTTATGTGTCCTACCAGCACTGGATGGACAATGCTGCCAGACAGCCGGGCATAGTGTTGGGGGGCGTTATCGTCAGTGGTATGTGAGCCTCGCGAAAATATCGACAGGCACTTTACCGTTATTTTACTGTTAAAACGAATTCTAACCTCTAAACGAAAGTACAACCACGAATGTATACACATACGCAAATTAGGCAAAATTTTATCAATTATTTAATGCTTCGTCCGCTCCATTATATATTCATAACAAGACTGGAAAAAACAAAGATATTTTGAGCTGGCAAATTGAACAATTTATAAACTCTGTTGTTTTACAGAAATATTCATTTCTTATACATCAACTTTTTGTATTTACATGGCAAACAGCTAGTTTTTGGTTCATAGTCAGCTACAGAGTTTAATGGCAAATTCAGAGTAGCTCTATAATTATTGACCCCTACAATCCTAGGTATATATAAATTATATCATCCCTTGGATACTGGGTTAACCTTAGTTCTAGCTCTCTGAACTGAACTGAACACTCTTATGGGTATTTACACTGGAAACGTTCAAATGCAGCTTTTCGCAGTTCACACGCGAATTAAAGAGCGTGGCCGCTGGAGCCGAGGTGGACTTCCATAAGGTGAGCAATCTTTGTTGTGATTAGAGACCAGCCGTTAAGCCGTTAGTCAGTAGCCAATTAGTAGGCCACATCGTTCAACTGGCCACGAATTGACAGCTGTTAACAATTAAGTGGCCATTTAAACAAATACAAATGCATAATTGTTTTCATTATCTACAAAAAATACAGCGAAAAAATTGTAAAAATATAAGTTAATTGGTTTGTGGGGGTGGTGCCAGCAAACTTCAACTTGAACATTCTAACGGTGAAGCTAATGCCAAAGTCGTTGCACGCCGTTGCGTAGCGTGTCGAATTTGTTGGATTCTTTTTTCTTTTTTGTTGCCGCTCGCGTTGCAAGTTGTCAATTCAATGACAACACCAAATACAATTTGCTCAAATATTCAGACATAATTGTATATGTAACAATACGTACAGCCTGCACTCGCTAATGACGAACAATTAAAGCTTAATTATTATTGTAATGCAACAGACAATATCAATTGTCTATATTTAATTTCAATTCAAAGTCAATAAATTTGCAGCATGTAGTACGTTAATTAGCAGCTTTAGGCAATTGCAACTGTAATACAATAATAAAAAATATAAAAAAAAAACTAATGCATTGGCCGTGCAGCAAACAGTCATTGAACTAGTTCCGTTTTGTTGGCATTGTTGTTGTTCTTGTGTTGACTTGATTGTAAGCCGATTTGTATTTGGCCAATCTGTCCATATATGTATGTATATAAAATTCAAGTGAAGGACAAGTCCGCAAAAAATAATGTAGACAGTCTCACCCAAGCCCAGAACTAGTTCAGGTGCAAGGGTTTGCTTTGGCTTCGCTATATTTTTCGTATGTCAACACTCGAATCCATACCAATTTAATTTATCAATTTAGTGGCTTATTAGCATGGCACACGTAAGTAAGTGCCCCTGAAAAAAGTCTCTATAGCGTAAGTCTAAGAAATGCGCAGCTGTCAATAATGTGTTATGATTTTTTTGCGTCTTATTAGTTGGCCAATTAAATGCACGCAAAAGCGTACTAGCCTTGGCCCCCTACCGCCTGCCGCTGCTGGTGGCCCTGTCGGCGGCAGCTTATCAGCTTATGATGCCGTTTAGAACGAAGCCAATGGAAATGAGATACTCGAATTTTCTTAAATAAAAGTATTTTGAATAACCAACGACTGGCTTTAAAACCCGTTAAGAATTTGCTGCACTCAGTGCACAAGAATCCTTTGTTATCGCATCCTTTCGATTGACTATCGATTTAGAATAAGACAAACTATCGAGCTTATCGATAACAACGCGGAGGATCCTAACGGTTAACACTCAACGCTCTTCCCACAGTTACCTTTGATGCACCTGGACGAGATCTTGCCATAGGGTTCGTCTGATCCTCGATCATTGTTAACCTGAAGTAGATTTGTATATGTTTATATATATTTCGTAGTTCATACATTGGAAATCTTTTTGTTTATCAGATTTTCCGGGAAAGAACAAATGATTCAGAAATAACCATCCAGAAGGTTCCGATTGGCCCACATAATTATTATTCCATAAGCCATTTCTTTTTCCATAGTTAAAAATCTTTTTAACTTTGTCAACAAACAAATTGGTAACAAAATAAATAATTATTGATGTACATATATTCAATTTCCATACAGATATGGCACACACTTCTGAAGCCCTACAAATAACCGTTAAATTATAAATGAGATATTTTAGGATATGATAGCATATATACACACATTACAAACACAAATGATGAATAGAATATAATAGAAAACGTGAAAAAAGAGATGATGATGCAATAAAAATAATTACATTCAGTAAAAACAAAACGTTGCCCTGTTTTAAAAACACTAAATATTTGAAATATTGCTGGACAGCGTTGCCAGACTGTCCAGTGTTAATGTAAACAAATCAATAGAGCAGCCAATGTCAGCTGTTTGCAAGCCACAACACTAAACTCACAAGGTTACACTTTGACCAACTATCGATAAAGTTGTCGATGATGGCAAGCAATTCTTAATGAAAGCAATATAAAATAGTTACTTTACAAAAATAATGAGATACCATAGTATTAAAACAAAACTATAAATACAAACTGGCGTTCATTGATGTAGCAGGCCAAATAGAATTTTTGTGTACGTCTTATTGTGACGTGGGTGCACGTAGCAAAACCTGGATCGCAATCTCATACATATGTTGGCCCATTTTTGGAGAGGACAACCCTAGATCGTGTTTTTATTTTATTTACCTGTTGTTGCTTGTTTATTTGTGCAATGCAACATTAACATTTCTCAAATAGCTAAGCAAACTGCAATATGTACACATTGCTGCACGGCTTTTACAAATACCTCACACAAAAAGATGAGTACTGTGTCGTCATTCTGGGCCTGGACAATGCGGGCAAAACGGTAAGCGGCTCCGGCACTATGATACACGTCTGCAAATGACTATTTTGTTGGCACACGCAGACCTATTTGGAGGCGGCCAAAACGAAATTCACCAAGAACTACAAGGGCCTAAATCCAGCTAAAATCACAACGACAGTGGGTCTCAACATTGGCACCATCGATGTGCAGGGCGTGCGTCTGAATTTCTGGGACCTGGGTGGCCAACAGGAGTTGCAGTCGCTGTGGGACAAATACTACCAAGAGTCGCATGGCGTTATTTATGTGATAGACTCCAACGATCGCGAACGCATGGACGAGTCCAAAATCATTTTCGGTAAATACCCATCCTTCCGAAGTTTCCCTCAGGATAACAAATTTTTGCTTTTCCAGATAAAATGATCAAAAATGAGCTGCTGTCCGGCGTGCCGCTTCTGATACTGGCCAACAAACAGGATCTGCCTGATGTGATGGGCGTACGCGAAATCAAGCCTGTATTCCAACAGGCTGGTGCGCTAATTGGACGCCGTGATTGCCTTACGATACCAGTCTCAGCGCTGACAGGCGAAGGCGTCGACGAGGGCATCAAATGGCTGGTGGAGGCGATTAAGCGGCATTCGTTAGTGCGTCCGCCGCGCGAAAACGATTGAGCTGCATGAAACGAGAATGAAATGCAACGAATTAATTCCAGAACAGAACACAGAACAGTGACAAACGTTGTACAATAGCTTCTTGGCTTTAGGTAGACGATAGCATTAAGCATGTATCAAATACATAACACACATTTTAATCAAAGGATAATCAAAGCACACACAAAACTTTGTATTTTGTATATATGTGTACCGCGAGCAAAGGCTTTCACCTGTCATTGACTTATCAGCCAGCACAGTCGGTGACGACTTCGCTTATCCATAACGAAACACTTTTTTTATTTTTATTATGGCATAAACAGGTACAACGGCGTTCTCACGATTTTGTTTGTTATCAGTGCGCGCATTGCTCAGAGATAAGTTAGTATAGTTTCTGTGTATTCAACGGGCTCTGAGTGAACCATGTCCATGACTGCCATGCCACCAATGTGAGCGTCTAGTATGATAACTATATCTATGTGCCGCTAAATGCACACGCTCACCCCGTGGCGTTGGCCATAGGTGTGCTGCAGGCGTCGATGAATACTGAGGGATCAGAACTTGATGATTTCAGTCTTTTGCCAGAGTTTCAGTCGCGCGGGCTGCTCATTATTATTGTTTAATTTTTTTTATAAATTCGCGTCGCCCTCGTTGTCTGTTTTGGTTAACCACAACTAACTCTGATGATGACCTGACGATATATCCGTCTCGCAGTGAACACGTTATATCAATTGCTTACCAGCAGAATATGGTTACCCAAGTTGGTTTAAACTAAAGGCACACAAAGAGCGCATCGAGCAGTAGCAGTGCGGGTGTGTGTGTGTATGTGTGGTGCGGGGATTGGAATCGTAATTACCTATAAATGTACATTAGATAACACGTACGCATACTGCCTATGTGGAGCACCGTAACCGCTTATCATTATTCCAGTGTCAGTACCTGTGCGGAGTTTAGGTGTGTGTAAGAGTTTGTGTATTTAGTTAGTGTCCACTTGTGTATGCTAGTGGGACCAACGAGAAAGTTACGCAGCCATCATGTATCCGTACTATGAGCAGGATTGGAGTGTCTTGCCACCGGAAAACAATCGCAGGTGAGTTGCAAATTGCCAACGGCAAACGCTGAGTTTTTAATTCAAAAATGACGTTATGCGCGTATTCATCGTCTTGGTCAAGAGAACTATCGATTACGGCGGCCTGCGATAGCAGTGCTGCTAATGTCAAAACGAAATGTCAACCGCTTGCTCGCGCTCTCTCGCTCTCACTGCTGTTACAACTACTATTACTACTACTGTTGCGCTCATCATCAACATTCTACGAGCATTTTTGTCGCGTTGTTAAAATTTGCATTGGAAGTCGGAGGCGGCAGGTGGCTATAAAGCAAACGTTTATATATAGTGCGAGCAAAAGTTTAAACAAGAAAGAAAAGCGACTTGCTTTGTTTGTGGCAAACACACAATAGATTTATGTTTAGTTTTTCCTGTGGCCAAAAAGAAGCATACGCTTAACTCAGTGGGCGCTTGTGTGTGTGTGTGTGTGTGTTTGTGCCATGTATCTCTGCGTGTGTGTGATGTGTCTATGTGCTTGGGCTTTCCAATGAAAGTTCATTAATCGACAAGCGCAGAAAGTAATGCAATATTTTGCAATAATACGTGTTAGGTTACAGTAAGACTGCAGCCAGAAACACAAGCACAGACGTGTATTTCCTGTGATTTATAACATTTTTCTTTGCAACGCATGCAATGCACTCGATAAATGGCCCATTGTGGCATATCGATATCGAATATCGATATAAGCCAGCAATGACGGCAGCTGTTTTGGTTTTAGCCATAACTGGTGACTGTGACGGCCTTTAGGCAAAAGCTGAATCAGTTGTTAACGATTAATGTGGCAACTTAGATTGTTTATTATTCGTATTTGAAATAGTTTAAGGGAGAATGTAATTAGAATTTGTGTTCACATTCCAATTGGATTTAAATACGCCTCTTGCTGTTTGCTTGTCGCGCGTGTGTGTGAGTGTGTGTGCTACTGTCAGCTCAATGCGCGCTAATCGTCTATTCGGTTCGGCTCATGCTTTAAGTGCGGGTTTCGCATTATTCATACAACTGAATTAATCATTTCATTTTCATCAGCAGCAGCCGCAAATGGTATTGCATTTGTGTGAGCCTCCACCTTTTTGTCGTCTTAATTAACACCCTACACACCTAGCCTAGTTTTTTCAGTTTGTGCTGTGCTGTGCTGCGCTTCGTTGGCCAGCACTGGCAGCTACATAAATACATACATATGTATGTACAAACGAATGAAACTGATGCCAGTTAAAAGGTACTTCAATGTCCATGCATATGTACTATACATATGTATGTGTGTGCCTGTTGAGTAAGCGTAGAGCTTTTTGTTTGCATTGAGCGGCGACAGATCATGTGTACCTCTGTACATGTATATACGTATGCATATTTGTTTAAGCCTCGGCACACGCACACATGCACACGCATCATTTATGTACATAACGTTTTATAACAGCAGTAAGTTCATTACTGATATTGTTTGTGCACTGCGATTTGTGTTAATAATAATAAACACCAGCAACATCCAGTGATAGACAGAGAGCAAAAGTTCGATGTGCAGTGTTAACAGTTTTGCAAAGAGAGCGCAGCAAATATGTCTGGGAGAGTGCGAGTGAGACAGAGTGAGAGAGTGCGACAAGTGGAACAGTAACTGCAATTTAATAGCGGCCGGCTGTCAACGTTTTTGTTATTGTTGTTGTTGTTACTATTGTTATTCATGTGCTGTGCAGCGAGTGTTGCAAAATAAGCAAAACGCGACTTACGATTGAAAATTGTTTGTGTTGCCACCTCGCCGACGCAGCTGTAATAATAAAAGGAACAACAACAACAATAACTGAATGCAAACATAAAAGCATAGGCCGGCAAGTAGTAGAAGAAGAAGCAGACCAAGATAAACAACCATCAACAAAAAGCAGTTAGTCTGCGTGCCACAACCAAATTGCTTCAGAGCCGCAGAAGCAGAAGCAGCAGCCGCAACGCCTCGAAATGAATTCCGAGCATGGGTATGCAGCCTTATTACAATTACATATTATACATGCACATATATCTATATAAAAATATATGTATATATGCATACATTTGTGCACATTATACACTCCTGTCTGTCTAATCAGCCTGTTATTATTTCATTTTTTTGCTCAATAGATTCAATCCAGCCTTCAATATGGCCACCATACGTCAGGCATTCACAGAGGCTGTCGAAAGAGGTAAGCCGCATCCCCAGCAATTGTTTGGCCATCACCAAGTAACTGTCTCTGCCTTTTATTTTTCTTTTTCTACCTCGCCCACATGCAGTCAGAATGCCGACGCCCACACGATTGCGTGATCTTATACGACAGATACGCGCCGCCCGCACCGCAGCCGAGGAGCGCGCCGTGGTTAACAAAGAGTGCGCCTACATACGCAGCACATTCCGAGAGGAGGACTCCGTCTGGCGGTGAGTGGGCAGTAAATTGCATTAATAGTATTTTCAACAATTTTAACCCGTTTTCTTTCACACTCTTCCCGCTCTCTGCTCGCTCGCCTGCAGCTGTCGCAACATTGCCAAGCTGCTGTATATACACATGCTCGGCTATCCGGCGCACTTTGGACAGCTCGAGTGCCTCAAACTGACGGCCAGCACACGCTTTACAGATAAACGAATTGGCTATCTGGGTGCCATGCTGCTGCTGGATGAGCGTCAAGATGTTCATTTGCTTATTACGAATTGTTTGAAAAAGTAAGTGCTTCATACGAAGAGGACAGCCCCGAGCAGATGCTTAGAATATTCTGCCCCAGCTTACAATTAGTATTATAATATAAATATTAGTATTAGCTAATGTATCATACGATTATCCCTGGCAAGCTCAACTTATAAATAGGCCAAGCAAGAGGCTAAAAAGCACCTGTTATTGTTAGGCAGCAAATATTACAACTGCTGCGTAGATTGGAAAATTCTCGACGAGAGATAAAATGACCTTTAAAAGGAAGGTCGTACATCTCTTATGCCCATTCGCTGCACGTGCAACTCTAGTGTATTGCTTCTAGGTGATTCCCCTTCTGGAAATGATAATAATTCTAAATATATACAATAATACGTGAAGCTTTGACCTCGCCAAGCTTTGGCGTCCATTTAAACCCTACATGACCTAAAACTAGTAAAAAAAAAAAATTTTTACGCAGCAGCGAAACTTTTTAACAATTCATTGTGAGACAGTAATTATTTATTATGCACGACTACATCTTCTTTTAAACCTGTCAAATTTATTTTCTAATCTGTTCAAATTGTTATAAAGGTGAGAATCAAGGCTCAAAGCAAGACCTAGGTTCATAGCTGTGCAAAACCAAATTCACGGAACAAACCTTAAGGCTAAGGCGATTCGTAGAACGTTTCAATTTGGTTATTTGCGTTAAAAATAGTATTTATGAATTGTAGAGAAAAAACTTGCTTGTTAAATTATTATTCTGATCGAACTAAACTTCTAAAAAAGCGTAGCTCCAATTAAAACAAATTAGACTTAAACTATTCATTCATTTAATTATTTATTAGCACGCTCAACTATATAATAACGTTATTTGTATTTATACTTTTTCCAGCGACTTGAACAGCTCGACGCAGTTTGTGGTTGGATTGGCGCTGTGCACCCTGGGCGCCATTGCGTCGCCGGAGATGGCACGTGATCTGGCTAGCGAGGTGGAGCGCCTTATGAAATCGCCCAACACGTACATCCGGAAAAAGGCGACACTGTGCGCATTTCGAGTCATACGCCGTGTGCCCGAACTGATGGAGATCTTTCTGCCGGCCACACGTTCGCTGCTCAGCGAAAAGAATCACGGTTAGATTGAAATGCTATACTTATCCAATCATATCTGTATTAACTATCATGTATTTTTCCAGGCATCCTCATTACCGGCGTAACGCTCATTACGGAAATGTGCGAGAACAGCTCGGATACGTTGATGCATTTCAAGAAGGTAAGTTACAGGCGGGCAGGCAAACAGGCAGACAGACAGGCTATCAGAACAGCCAATGGAAAGTGAATTTGTAGAGCTTCAACGGCTACCCAGGCCCAGGCTACGTTTTGCGTTTCGATTCCATTCCTCCCTCCATTTTAGTTATGTGGGCGGCCCGTATAATTGTGTATTGATATTGTGGTATTTCAATTAGATTTTTTTTTTTTTATTTTGCTGCCCTTTTGATTTGCGCCTTCTGCTAAATAAATTGTTATTATTAAAGTTTCCATTGTTATCGCTGTTGTTTATATCGCTTTGCCACGTACTATTTTTAACACCCAACGACATTTTGTAATTACAAATTAACGCTTGTTTGTTTTTGATCGAATACCGCGCAAACACAAAATGAAATTTGTTGTTATTTGCTTGCCAGGATAGCGGAAATCGAGAGGTATGAATTGCTGTTTGTGCTTTAAACTAAACTCTATATACCTGTTGATAGATATTCTTGTTGTTGTACTTATTGTTATTATCGTTCTTTTGTGATCTGTTCTACACATTGTTGATAGTTTAGTTTTGATCTATTTTCCTTCAAAACCGAAAACACAAAAGCAATATTCTCTAAAAGTGTGCCTACTTCTCGTAGAGCTCTTATTGTTGTGTCAGTCTGAAGGACTGGCACATGTTTTCTATATATTTAAGTTTGGTTTTTGTAATTAGTTAACATATTTAATGCACTTTCCATTCACCTACTTTCGCTCTCTCCCGCACACGCACAAAAGCAATGCACAAGCTAGCGCTGACTCGCTTTGGCTCACACACAAATACAAACACACATTAGATTGCTACCTTCTCTCTCTTTCTTACTCATGCAAATGTGCTGCTAGTGTCTGACTTTAACGCTATTTCTCTCTCTTTCTCATCACAGATCGTGCCGAATCTGGTGCGCATTTTGAAGAGCCTTATTTTGGGCGGCTATTCGCCCGAACACGATGTCAGCGGCGTCAGTGATCCGTTCCTGCAGGTGAAAATCCTGCGCCTATTGCGCATACTCGGCCATAATGATCCGGATGCCTCGGAGGCCATGAACGATATATTGGCGCAGGTGGCAACCAACACGGAGACCAGCAAGAATGTCGGCAACACCATTCTCTATGAGACGGTGCTATCCATTATGGATATACGGTAATTGCAACGCGTTTCCAAACAGTTCACAGCTAAAAGAACTCGATTTTAAGATAGAATCAATTTTGTATATATTTTATAAACATTTAGAATACAGGGAACTTTAACATTAGGCTTCGTTCAATTCATATTTTTGCTGACAAACAATAATCAGAGGTCGTTAATACTTAAATTAAAATCAAGATAAATTCAGTATACCTCATGTTAGCATTCAACGTCTTTGTTAACTATCTAGTATCATGAGCGATAGCATTTAAATAAACATGAGGATTAGGAATAGCATGATAGCAACTGAATCGCTTTAGCTTTAGTAAATCAACTCCCAACTTTAGGACTCATCAAGTACAAAGTAAACCTTATTTCTAAATTTATGATATACAATCCTTCTTGGCTTGCAGTTCGGAAGGCGGCCTGCGCGTCTTGGCTGTGAACATTCTGGGACGTTTCCTACTCAACTCGGACAAGAATATACGGTATGTGGCGTTGAATACGCTGCTGCGAACGGTGCACGCGGACACGTCGGCGGTGCAGCGGCATCGCACAACCATATTGGAGTGCCTCAAGGATCCGGATGTATCGATACGGCGACGAGCGATGGAGCTATCGTTTGCGCTGATCAATGCACAAAATATACGTACAATGACCAAGGAGCTGTTGCTGTTCCTCGAGAAGGCCGATGCCGAGTTCAAGGCGCAGTGCAGCTCGGGCATGATTCTCGCCGCCGAACGCTATTCGCCCAATTCACGCTGGCATCTGGATACGCAACTGAGCGTTTTGATAGCTGCTGGCAATTATGTACGCGACGATGTGGTGTCTTCCACCATACAGCTGGTGTCCAGCAGTCCCGTGCCAGAGCAAACATATATCACGAATCGGTTCTGGGAATCGCTTCAGGTGTCCAATCACTGTGAGGACAAGCAGCCGCTGCTCCAGGTTGCCGTCTGGGCCATAGGCGAGTACGGTGATCTGTTCATGTATGGCGCTAACGAAGATGGTGAGTAGATTAAACACAATATCGATCGGGTAGAAATAATTTTACTTTACCTTGACAGAGTTTGAACGTCCCACGGAAAGCGATCTGATCGCTGTGTATCATAAGTTTTTAACCTCTGCTCAAGTGTCGACCACAAGCAAGCAATATGCGCTCGTCTCCCTGGCCAAGTTGAGCACGCGCCTGCAACAATGCGTGGAGTAAGTATCTAATTCCCAAGGCCCATCGACTGGCCATCGGCTAATAATAATCTTGTTCGATTGCAGAGAAATCCAGGCATTGATTACCTCGTTTGGCAGCCATCTGAATGTGGATCTGCAGCAGCGGGGCGTAGAGTTTACGCAGCTCTTTGGCAGCTATAAGCACCTGCGTCCGCCGCTACTGGAAAAGATGCCCGCCATGCAGATTAGTCGCATTAGTTCGCAAAATGGCGAAAGCGGCGGCTCGTTCGATGACAACAGTCCGGATGTCATCGAGAATGGCGTCGAGATTGGCGGCAGCAGTACGCATCCTTTAATCGAAAGCAATATGAATACAATGGGTGACAATACGGTAAGTTACCAGACAATATACACGATCCTGCATCAAAATAAACCTATATATATTTATATAATATTGTAGAATATCCTATTGGACTTATTGGGTAGCACGGATTTGTCGGCGGGTGCCAGCGACTTGGCCATGGCCACAGATTTATCAAATGCGGTGCATAAAAAGAACACACGCAACGCAAACAACGATGCGACAGTGTCCAACAATCAGGATCTGCTTGATTTACTCGACTTGGACATGTCGGCGCCAACCACAACGCCCGTCATGGGCATCAATATGGCTGCCGATCCTAGCAGTGCCGCCAACATGAACAATATGCTCGGTGGCCTCGATCTGAGCGGCTTTGGTGGTGCCATCGACGCTATGCCCAACAGCATACCCACGAATGGCAATGATATGGCGAGCATGTTGGGTCGGCTAAACGTTGCCGGTGGCAGCGATGTCAACAGCAGCAGCCTGCTGGGTGAACTGAATCCCACGGCGGCATCCAACAATGTGACAGTGGTATATAATTGCATAAATTACCCCAACACTTCGCATGTTAATCTAAACATTTCTTGGATTGCAGCCTCCACAGGGCCCCAAGCTAACGGCCCTGGACAAGAACGGACTGCTAGTGCAGCTGGTGCCGGTGCCGGGCAGTGACTGCATGAAGATCTTTATGACAACCACAAATAGCTCAGACAATACATTGGAGCAGTATGTGCTGCAGGTGTGTAGCCTTATTGATTTACTGTTCATGAGATTGTTACTTATTTGTTCTACGTGTTTCAAACAGGCGGCGGTGCAGAAGAGTTTTAAACTGCAAATGCTGACGCCGTCGGGCTCTGTGCTGCCTCCAGGTGGCGTCATCACGCAGGAAATGCGCGTTGTGGCTACGTCCAATGTAAGTAGCTCAATAGGGCGTCGTGCTCCCAACCCTAGAATTTGACAAGGACATCTTGGGGTTTCTTAACAGGATTTGGATATTCTTTTTAGTTTAGATATACAGTTGACTGTCTTATAGCTGGTATTGCTTTGACTCTATCTCTCAGTTTCTCCTCTCCATTTTTCTCGCACAAAAACAAATTTTTGTACTGCATAAGAATCCCGAAGAAAGGCGACAAAGAGAACACAATGAAATTGGCTTTGAGCAAATGAAATACGAACGTACATTTGGGACATTCAGAGCAATCTTGACTAGAGCTCAGCTTCACGAGTTAATATGCAAATCTTTATTTTGTTTTCCAACATATATTGATCAAACTTAGCCTTAACGAGGTTTACTATGCCCCATACATTATTATTATAACAGACTACTTAATATCCGACCCCATAAAAGTTTTGGGCAAAGTAATTGCGAGGCTGTAAGGGCATTATATCTCCTTTCTTTCTTCTTTTTTATATCTAATTAATCCTAATGCTCTGCTTCTTTCTCTGTTCCATAGGCTGTACTGCGCATGCGTCTGCGCATTCAATACACGCTCGATGGCCAGCAACTGGTGGAGCAGACGGAGGTTAGCGGCTTTCCGGATCAGCAGCCATCGAACGAATAAATGTGTTTAATAGCAAGCGTCTAAGCTTAAAGTCTAAAGACAACACACACACACACACACACATACCGAGCACAGCTAAATACAGAGGTTGCCACACGCATATACTGTAAAATAAATTAAAAAAACACCTACGAACACACACATACACACACCACAAACACACACATTCACTCATATTAAAAGAGACCCAGCTGAAAGTCCGTGTGCAGGAGAATGGAAGATGGGAGCATTGCACAGCGATGCCAGACTGTCGCAGCGAATGGTGGACATGTGTGCGCGTATCCAGTTGCTTTAAAACAAGAACTACAACTAAACCGCAAACCATAATTTATATATACATATATATATATATATATTTATATGTAAACCTATGCCCATATGATTTTTGTGAAAACATCTTTGCGTGTATGCAATTCTTGATTACTATTATTAATATTATTATTATGAATATGATTTGCCTTCATGTGTGTGTACATGTTTTTTGTGTAAAAGACAACATTCAGTTTTAATGTAAGACAATAAAGTCATTTAAAAGCGTCAAGCTACATTATATAGCCACTACACTAAATTGTAAATTGCAACAATTAACAATAGCAGGAAATTTATTTTGTTATACCATAACAAAACAACAAATCAAAAAAAAAAAACAAAAACTCAAAAACGCAACTAAAAATGTGACAAATTGTGTATAGCAAAAAACGCAGCGCATTTATTCAAGCTTAGCATTTGCCGATTAAAAACAGCAGTATATCGATAATGTCAATCGATCGTTACACACGTTCGTCTATCGATTGAGATTGCAGACATCGCAGTTATTATTATTATATATAAAAAACAAAAAACATAATTTGTTATACTTATGTATGTATGTAATATGTATTAAACAATTTTTTTTTTTTTTGATTAAAACGAATTAAGGCTTCAGACACGTGTGACTGGCAGCGTGCAGGCACAATTCCCAGGATTAGCCTGCACTCTGTGACGTCACATAATGGCCGGTGACACACGACACACACAAAACACACACACACACACATAGACACGAGCGCAGTGTTGGAAGCCGGCACATTAGCTCAGCACACCGTGTGGCCTACATTTCCACAACCAATCACAATCACTCGATAAATTGTTATTTCCTGTGCGCACGTACTTAAAAGCGATTCGACAGACAACTGCAACAGCAAATAAGAAACTGCAATAGCAGACAGCACTGTGGAAAACTAGATAATTATAATATACATATTAATAAATTTAACAAAATATATACCTAAAAACAAGAAACAAAAAACAACAACAACAACTATTTAGTAACTGGTAAAGATTAGTTTGCGGGTCAATGCGTATTATGTTTAATCTTTGGGGAGGGGGGTAATTAAAACAGAAAATCCAGATTTATGTACTATTATTATGTATGTATAATTAAACAACAATTATAAATATGTCTCGCAGCAAGAATGAGTAACACTAAAACAGCAACAACAACTAATAATAATAATAATAATAATATAAAAGCAGCATTAACATATTGTACAATATCGTATAAATATATATATATATTTTTTTTTGTATTCATTCAAAACTTTGAGCTGAAATAAACACCGAAATTTTGTTTCATCCGAAGACAGTTGCACTTTTGCACTTTGCACTTTGCGATCAAGTTTTTTTCTTTCAACAATTCTGCAATCAATTCTAACAAAATTTCTAAACTTGTTTGCTGCAGAAACTCACGAGCTATACATATTTATGATATGCATACATTTCAATGAACATATGTAAAATTTGTCAAAAAATTACCGAAAATCCAAGTGAACGTGTCTTACAACTCTTGAAAAATTATCAAAATTTCTATAAGCCGGCATTTGGGCCAAAGAAAAGCATAAGAAATGCCGCATTCGCGTGCCCTAAATAGTATGCTATACTAACCGGATAATGACAACAAGACCGCCCGCCTCCCCATTTGCTGCTGCGGCTCGAAAATGTTGCATAAACTGAACTGGTTTATAGATACCCATACCAGGCTCTCAAGGAGGAGCTGTGCCATAACTGGGCGGGACCCAGCTAATTATCCGAAAGTATAGCCGACTTATGCGAATGTTAAATGTTCTCATGCAGATTAGGTCAGTGTTGCGTAACAGTAAGTATATATCTTCGTATAACTGGAAATTGTCCAAGTGTTGTTAAAGATTGGTGTTTATTTAACGCTTTTTATTTACTCTTCAATGTAACACATAATTTTTTTTTTTGTTTTTTTTTTCATTTTCAGCTCGTGTTTTCCAGGAAATTAAAGATCCATCGCTTGGAGAAAAGTTCTTTTCATAAATTTCAATAACATATGTATGCCATATGGGGCACAATTGCATAACAAATATAAACGAAAAACTATTTGGGTACAGCCTAAATCGAACTAAATAACAATTCCTTTTCAAATTCGAACTATGAGCCATTGGGACCATCGACTCCGTCGCCCTTCGGCTGCTTGCACACATCGCACAGCTTCTCCTCGGGCTTCAGATTCCATAGCAATGCTGCACAGAACTTGGCACAGTCCATTTTGCCCGTGCCATCGGTATCCACGGCGTCGATCATGCGCTGCACATCCTCCTCGCTGTTCTCATAGCCAAAAACACGCATCATTCCGCGCAGCTCGCTGGCGGTCAGGAGTCCACTTCCGTCCACGTCCAATATGGCAAATGTATTGCACATTTCCGCCTTCTTGGCTTTGCTCAACTTGTCCATTGGTAGGTCGTTGTTCTTGTTGTTGTTTTTTTTCCTTTTTCCTTTTTCCTTTTTTTTTTTTGTATATTTTCTTTTATTTTTAATCAAATGATCTCTCACGAAAAACAAAATTTTATATAAATTACCGAAAAATAGATATATATATATATTTATTATTTTTACTGTTGTGTCTGTTGTCGATCTGTTCCGTTTGTAAGAAATATATTGACTGGCCCAGTTACCTAGACTTCGGCCTGCGAGGCTACGCGTACCTCCATGCCTACTGGGTTGCTCTACGATATAGTATTACATTTATTTTTATACCCTGAACCCATTGAAAATGGGTAAAACAGGTATTATGTATTTGTGCAAATGTATGTAACAGGCATAAGGAAGCATCTCCGACCCCATAAAGTATATATATTCTTGATCAGCATCAATAGCCGAGTCGATCTAGCCAAGTCCGTCTGTCCGTCCGTCTGTCCGTCCTTCCGTATGTATGAACGCAAGGATATCAGAACCTATAAGAGCTAGTCACTTGAAATTTTAGCTGTAGGTTCTCCTAGTTATCGATATCGAAATTCTGTTTCTTGAGCAATTGTCACCAAACTTGACATTTAGCTTCTAGAATAGTATATACATATATATCAAGTATCTTTCATTTGATCGATTTTTATCGATTACTTGGAAACGGGACAAGTTATCGAATATCGGAAACAAACTCGATCTGTGCGGGCATTAGGAGGACCTACAGCTAAAATTTCAAGTCTCTAGCTCTTATAGGTTCTGATATCCTTGCGTTCATACATACGGACAGACGGACGGACAGACAGACGGACGGACGGACATAGCTAGATCGACTCGGCTATTGATGCTGATCAAGAATATATATACTTTATGGGGTCGGAGATGCTTCCTTCTGCCTGTTACATACATTTGCACAAATATTACCCATTTTTAATGGGTTCAGGGTATAAAAAAAAATTGTTTTTCTCAGATCATTTTGAGAAAAAAAAGAAGACTCGTTTTAAGTTAAGGTTCTGCTGTTCATGGTTGATAAAGCGGTTCGGTTCGTAACCTGAACTAATTATTGTCCATAATAAAAAGACAGTCTTGTGCAAAGTTTCGTGACAAGAGCTCTTAGACTGAGATCATGGTTTGAGGAAATACAAATTTACAGACGAACCTGGCTAGAACGACTCGGCTGATTCTGATTACCAATATATATTATTTATGGTGTGGGAGATATCTCCTTCTATGCGTCAAGCATTTGGTGATACAATTTAATACCATCTGCAATGGCATAACAAGGAGTACATATGTATACTGAATGCAGGCCGTTGAACTGTTAGTTAGAAAGTGCCTTATTTTTAAAAGTTGCCCTACTCTGCGATTCTCAAAAATTCAAGTAGGCTCTACAGATGTATGTATACCAAACGCAGACCACGTTTGGTTCCAGTTGCGCGGAAAATTCAAAAAGAAGGTTAGCCTTACTATTTGCTTCGATTATAACTCTTATGTTGACAATTTTCTTTTAGCGACTTATTTGTATAAAAGTCTGGTTCTATCATACTAATAGATGACAATCAAATATGTTTTGGGTAAGTGCCTACTTATATATATGTACATACATACATTTAGACAGAAATATCTTTTTATAAAACTGTTTATCCTGACTGTCTGACATATTGACTGACCGATTGGTGATCTACGCACACGCACACCAGCTAAGAAGCTAAAACTTTTACTGTAGTTACCTTATGTGATGACGGTGCACGTTAAGACGGGGTTTCGGGAAATTCCACCCGCATGTGCGGAAAAATCGCCAAAAACGTTTGTATGAAACTTTTTCATTTACCATTGTATGACAGATCTTTGAGAGAATTCATTTTAACCGTGCCACGAGCAAGGCCCGGGGTATACCCGCAATTATCCTATATAGAAATCGGTCAAAATTTCCCACTCCCACAACTTGCTTAAATCTCATCGGATTTTCACGAGGTTTAAGTCTTTCTTCATGGTTTGGCCTCTACATCAATTTGGCATCTAAATCTGGCAACATTATTTTTGATCAAAGTTCATCTTAAAATTGTACCCTCACATATCCTATATAGACATAGGTCAAAATTTCCCAACCCCCATAACTTGCTTAAATCTCATCGGATTTTCACGAGGTTTGGCTCTTTGTTCGTGGTTTGGGGTCTAGATCAATTTGGCATCTAAATCTGGAAACATATTTAACGGTCGAAACTCATGTAAAAATGATACCCTTAAATATCCTATATAAACATCGGTCAATACCGACCTCTCGGATCCACAAGGCTGTTGTCTGCTGGTTCCTTGTAAGAATCTAAATTTGTGTCTTTGCTAGAGCGATTAAGACCTGGATAGGGTTCATCTGCTAGTGTATTAATTTAAGCCGTGAATTAGATCGGATTTTTTTAGTTTAAATATAAATACGTGAACCTATGGAAAATGGGTAAAAAGGCAACATTTCTGACTATGTAAATTAATAAAATAAAGAATCATTTGAATAATAATAATTAATATATTAAAACTGGGCTATTATTGGATAAAATATAAGGCATAGAGCTACAGAGTCCTATAAATTGCATTTTTTTTCCGGAACATTCATGTCCGCACATCTACATACATACATATGTATTAATGTATTTCATTCTTAAAACTAGTTGCTAATTAAATACAATTTTGATTTAAAAAGTAAGCAAGGAGTTTTATTATAGCTTCTCCTGCTATATTCAGCAAAAGCTGCTAAATTGAAAAGTGAAATGATAAATGATAAATGCGAGAAGCATTCGAAACATTTCACTGACAGAACCGTTCGAAGTACTTACCATAGATTAACTAACGTATACTTAATAAGCCGCCTGTCGAGCAACATCCGGATCCGCAGTGACGTGATTAGTCACAGTGATTCGATATTGTCAGCCGGGATGCAGTGATATACGAGCGTGCTATTCAAAAGAACAGAGAGAGAAAGAGAGAGAGAGAGAGAAGGAATCAGTCACATTTGGGGCTCAAGTGTGGCTGTGACTGGGAGCTGCCGCTGGCAAATGCTTGAGAAGATTAACAATGACACATGCCCTTAATATAGCAAAAGCCCAATCTGATTGTCTTTTAATAAGACAAGCCCGAAAAATCAAGTGTAACGCAAAGCGAATTAGATGAAATCTCTCAGATATAACAACAATGCGGCCCCGCATCAACATGTTACCGCCCGTCACAGCTGTCAATTGCAACGGCAGCAGCAGCAGCGGCAGCGGCAGCAGCAGCAAGCCAAGCTAGCAGAGTATCAGCTCATCGTCATCTCCATATCTGCACAGACAGCTGTGACGGGGCAAAACTTCTACAGCTCCTCGGCCTGCCAGCTGTCGTCGGCTAACGTCGTCGTCGTCGTCAGCTCTCGCGCCTACTCCGCGTAACCTTTGGTAAGGTTAAATGTGAGCACAGCGCCCGCGAATTGTGCCACGCCAAGAGCAGCAGCAGCAGCAGCAGCAGCAGCGGCAGCGGGAGCAACAGCATCAAGAGCAAGGCAAAAGGCAAGGCTTCATTGTGTAGCGCTCGTTGCCCGTTTCCTGCCCATTGTGTCTGTGTGTGTGCGCGTGTGTGTGTGTGTGTGTGAGCGAACGAGGCGAACTAAAGCGCCGACGCACTGGCACTTGCCTGTGCTGGTATTTTGGATTTGGATATGTTTTATCCTTTGCATCGAACCTAGCGCTGGCTTCGCAGCCTCGAACATGTTTGGCCTTGTCACGTGCAACCTAGCCAGCGACAGCTACGTGCTCTGTGTGCGTATTTGTGTGTGTGTGTGTGGCTGTGTTTGTTTGCGGCACAGCAACTGCTGGCTATAAACAGCATAAGCATCTCTATGTGCGCTATATACTTTATACACATACATACATATATATGTTTATATGTATAGATTTGTGTGGGTTTGTGCGTATGTATGTGTGTATCTATGGCAGCGCGGCTGTGTGTTGTATATCAATCGCCCTTTGGGCGGCTGCCTGACTGTGCCCCGACCGCCCAATGGCAACCCGCCTCCGCCGCCGCCGTCGCCCTAGCACTTCAGTCAGCCAAACACCTACTGCACTCCCACCACAGTCTCTGACAGCGCCGCTGGCGTTGAGAGCGGCAGCAAAAACAAAAACAGCACCAAAAAAAAAAAAACAAAAAAAAAGTAATTTTGTGCAACGATGCGACCCTTGGCCAAAAATTGTAATGAGAAACCTTTTATGGCACAAACACATGCTCGCTTTTTGTCTTCTTGTGCTTGTGCTTGTTCTTGCTCATCCGTTGCGGCTGCGGCTGCTGCTGCTTCTTCTTCTTCTTCTTCTGCTTCTCTTACTCACCTCCCCCACCTCTTCAGTTGTCTAGTGTTTCTAGTATTTCGCTTGTTTTGAGTTTTGTAGTCTAATTTTATTTTTTGATGTTGCTTTTCTGCAGCTTCTTCTCTTGTTGTTGTTTTTTTTTTGTTTTTTTTTTGTCTACTTAAAGTTAATAATTTGTGTTGTTATTGTAATACAATATGTTTGTAGGTACGCGCTATATGCTTTTCGGTTGAAGTTGAATTTTCATCTGTACTTTTCAATTTATTTATATTTTAAATATATATATATGTATATATAGTAATATCAGCTATGTTTGAACAAATGAGTAGAACATACAAAATCAACAAGAATGTAAACATAAATGAAATGAAGCTGTTCGGTTGCACTGTGCAGCATTTCTTCCTCTTCCCTTCCGTTATACTTTTTTGTTTTATATTTTGCTTTGTTTTGCTTTGGCAGGTGGCTGCTGGGCCAATAGAAGCTAGCGAAGCGGCAGCCAGCAGTATCTGGAGAGCGAGAGCCCGTGGGGCATGGAAAATCAAGCATCAGGCATCGAATTGCCCATAACATTGTAATTGCTTTTTGATAAATGAAGCACGCGCTGCACAGCTGACGGCAACAACAAGAACAAGAACAACAACAACAACAACAACAAGGAACAAGAGCAACTAGAACAAACAAGCAGCAGCAGCAGCAGAAGCAGCAGCAGCAAGCGGAAGCAGCGCCAGCAAATAAGAGTCAAATCTGAGGCTGTGTCGCATAAAACGACTCACTCAAGTGTTGCGCCCCAGAGCTGGGGCCACGCACTCGGCAAGACAATTTAAAATGTTGAAAAATGCTCAGCTAATTGGCAGTTGACAGCGTTGAGAGCATGGGAATGGGAATTGTATGAGCTTGCTGGGAACGGGGGCGGGTGCCGTTGCCGTTGCCGGGGGGGGGGGGGGGGGGGCCATATAAATTTAATTTGGTTTATAAAAAGTGCTTGAGAACGAGTAGAATGAAGAGAGACCCAGCTGAAAGCCAAGTGGCCAGCCAACCAACAAATGCCAGCCACCAAGTCCCACATGCGAGTGCGAGCGAGATAGCGAGTGGATGGTGGGTGGGTCGTGGGTGGGGGCAGGCAACCGCCGGGCTCGTTTGTAGGTGAAGTCAACCCCGTTAGCTAACTCCAAATGGAACTTGAGATAATGCAACTTGAGATTTGTCTTGTTTAGTGTGCGGGTGCCCCCGCTTGTTGGGGATAAGCCCCAACATGTTTTGTATTGAAATTCAAAACAAATCCTCAAGTGGAAAAATCTGTAACGATGTTGGGGCTTAGGTAACGGCAACTCAAGATAAAAAAGAAAAAGTGTTGCATTGTAAAACAAATCATGTAATTGCGTCGAGATATGAAGAGCTGCTCTTGAGGGGGGATGCCGCCAGAAGGCAGAAGGCAGGGCAGGGCATTATTTCTGTGCGCCCAAATGCTGTATATGTAGATAAGAGAACTTATAGCACACTTGGATAAATAGAGAAGATCATTTGGATGTCAGAAAACCAAAAGAAAACACAGATAAATCCATTAGGAATCTTTTAAAGACTATTAGCAGGCAATTAAAGCAATCTTGTCAAAACTTTGAGTTTACTATGAAAAAGACAAACTGACGCATTTGCTTCTCTGCCAAAGTTTTGGGTTAAATAAACAAGTTTGAAAAAAGCTAAAGTGGGCCAGAATTATTCATGCTCCGGCACAGTGAAGAAATTTATGGCAAACAATACCAAAAACAACAAGCAGCAAGCAGAAGAAGAAACCCCATACAAATACACAAAATGTAAATGTTGTAAATGTTGCAGCACAATAAGCGGGGCGGCGATGTCGGTGTCGAATCCCAGCTCCATAACTAGGTGGAACCCGGCGTGAAAGCAAGCCAATTGGATAAAGGACAACGCCTCGCCATCAACAAACGGTTGCGGTTCGGCGGAACGGAGCGGGGCAGGGCGGCGAGGCGAGGGGACGATACACACCCCCGACAAAAGCTGCTTCAATATGTTTTTTTTTTTTTATTTTTCGTCTTTTTTATCGTTGGCATATTTTGCGGCTCCCAATTTATATGGTAAGTGGTTATCCATTTTGTTTTTATCAACATCCAAAGCCTTACGCCGCACAAAAATCGATGGGTTAGTTGGGCTATGCATATATCTATATATATGTATATATATTCCCATGCCAACCCCAGCAAATAAAACCCAAAGAGCGCTGCAATAACAAATCAAACTATATTTACATAAACAAATCAAAATAATAGTTATACAAACAAAGTTTTCATAAACGACACACAGAAAAAAAAAGTGTAATAAAAAAAAGGTTAAACTTAAACTATTCACTAGAATAATTAAAATTGATGTTGATCAAATGTCCAATGTGGGCGATGATAGCAACAAATTGAGTCAGGAAATATATGCTTGTACTTTATATATATATATATATATAATTATGTATATTTATGTTAGTAATTTCGGTACGCACCGAATTTTGTATGCTCTTTTCCGGCTAATCAGTTGATTGAGATTTAAATATATATGTATATTGACAAGTTATAGCTAATCTATGTTTCAGACTCAACGAAAGTGTACTCCTTTTCTTCTTCTAGCTACGCCCATCCATATATGTATAGGTATGTTAGTATGGCTTATGTGTTAAATTCTATTGGTATCTAGGTTTTCTAGGTGTTTAGTCTCAATGCTGAACTCTATTGTAGTACCTATCTAAAGCTATGTTTAGTTGAGCTTTTACTTTTGGCAGACCAAGTGGTAATAACTGTGCTTTTAGTCAACAACAAAAAAAAAGTAATAGTACATATACTAAAACGAAGAACAACTGCAGGTTGGTCCGATTTTCAAAAGCAATCAGTTGCTAGCCTTGATCAAATACTACATCTATATATATATATATATATATGTATTTATAAATAGATCAGACAAACAGATATTTATATTAAACCAGTTGATTGTTTAGCCTCTTCTGCTCTTACTGGTGCTTAAACTAAGTATATAGGAAACTTTGACCTGGAAAAGAGCTAGATACGTTTAAGATTATAAATAAAAATAATAAATAAAATATATAAACAAATTCTCTTAAAGACGCTTAAATATTTACAGGCATTTTGCGTAGCGAAGCTTTTTTTGCTTTTTTGTTGATTTTTTTTGTTGTTTTTGTTGTTGACATGCTCAAGTACTTAATTCATTTTCATTATAATATATGTAGTTTAGGTTTTGCTTTTAATTTGTAATGCATTTTAGCTAGATATACACATAAAAAAATTTTGAAAAATATTCCATTTTGATTTTAGTTTAATTTTAGCTTTGTTATGATTTTATTTTAAGTGTTTTTTTTTGTTTTCATATATTATATAGACGACGAATTGAAAACGGCATGCGATCTTTAAGTTTTTTTTATTTTCTTTTTTTTTTTTTTTGAAATATTTGTTTTCTTCATTTTAGTTTTGAAAAAGCGACGCGACGAGAAAAAAATTGTATGTTGCATAAAAATTTGTAGCAATTTGTTGCATTTAGTTTGGTGTATTTAGTTGGTTGGCCGAGGCCCCTAGATTATGTCTAAATACGCGTATGTATATAGCATATGCAATATGTATATGTATGTATATATATAACTATGATATATGTATGTATATAGTGTACGCGTTAATGTATATAGGTATTACATATATGTATATATATACATATATATATATTTATGACTGTTTTGTTTTTGGCCTAAACACTAAAAAGGTAAAACTTAAACATACGATTGAGCGAACTTGTTTTATCTCCTCTTCTTCTATGCTTTTTGGACTTGATGTAAGATACTTGTTTCGATAACTACATATGGTTTAATACGTATATGTATGTTAAGTATATGATGTAGTTGTTGTAGGTTACATATATGTTGTGTGTGTATGTGGGTGTGTGTGTGTGTATGTGGGTGTGTGTGTGTGTTTGGGTGTGTGTTGTCTATGCTATGTACAATTTGGGTGCAGAATATCACATAGTCAGACATATACGACTACAAGTTCTCTTTTCTTTTTTTGTTGTTTTTGTTGTTTTTGTTGTTGTTTTTCAGTTTTGTATTTTCTTTGCTCACTTCGCTTTTTGACCGCCTACACATGCAGCGTAGAGTTGTCCATGGAGAGCCGCGAGCGACGTCCGCTTAGCAGCGAGGCGGTGTCCGCATCACCATCAGACGCCCGCTTGCGCTGTGGACGCAGAAACAGGAACATGACCAGCAGCGCCAGGAAGAAGGCGAACGCACCAAATGCCGGATACACAACGCCGCTCAACTGGCTGGCCGTGGGCAGCGCACTGATTATGTACACACGGTCCGTGGGTCGAGAACGTTGCAAAATTGTTGTTGGTCTTTTTGTTGTAGATGTTGATGTTGTTGTTGTTGTTGTTGTTGTTGTAACTGGTGCTGTCACGGGCACGAAGGGCAACAGGCTTGGATTTGTCCAACGATTGGCTGCCGCTGTCGCCGACAGCAGCTGATGTGTGTCCACATTGAGCTTCAGTGAGCGACGCATCAGGCCCGTTAGCTGTGAAACAGTATGGATGACAATTCGGGCGCGGTCAAAGCGTTTCCTGGACTGGCTTACCTTATGCTTACAGGTAACCTGTATGTTGTAGACCGTATCCGGCCAGAGTGATAGCTCGGCGCGTGCTGTGTCTGTGAGCAGGTTGCCCATAAGGCCGCCGCCGGATACCTCCCAGGTGATCAGGCATTGACGGGATGCGTTCGCAATCAGCTCGTCCCAACCGATGTCGGTCAGCACCAGAGCACCCTGACGCTGGGCGTGGTGTACGCGCAGCTCAAAGGGAGCCAACTGCCTTTGGCAGTTTTGCCAGCACTGTTGAAGGTAAGCACGGGGTAAGGTAGGAAAGTTAGCATTTGAACCAGGGCATTCGGTAGCATCGTTAAATACATACAACAGCTTTAAGCGCTGAGAGCAGTCACAATTGCGGTGCCCGCAAATTGGCAACGCAATTTCGCCAGCCGCCCGCAGCAATCAACAGCAAAAACATTTAACCCATTAATGTGCCCACGTACTCGAAAACGCTCACGACATTCTCCAAAGGTAATTCCATCAAAAAAGCAAAAAATTGAAGCATGTTTCATTTGAAAACTAATTTTACGGGCTTTAATAGTTACAATACGATTTTTCTACGCGCCATTTAAACACTGGCCATCGCGCGAGTATTTATTGTTATCGATAAGTTAGCTTTGACTGAAATTTGATGCGCTAGTATTGGGCAATTTTGCAATTTTTGTGTTTTTTTTTTTGTTGTTGTTATGTTTTTGGTTAGTGTGTACCGCAAGCTATGCCAGCTAAATTGTTTTTGTTTTATTGAAACAGTGCCAGTTTATTGTTTGATGAATTCTCGTTTAAATTTGACTAACAACTGAAATGGAATGCTCCTCAAATTGAATACTTGATTTACGAAAAATGTTTGCGCTATGCACACAGAGCTTGCGATGCGAAGGTATTCGGTTTCAAGTAAGAAATATGTAAATGGACAGCTCTTAATTAATAAACTGACAACATTTTCAGTCTTAAGTATTTGCATGTTGTAATTTGTTTGTAATAAAATATAACAGCATGTCTATAAATTACATATGTATTGTTTTTCTTCTCCATTTGCAAGTGTATTGTTCTAATCTGTATCTAACAACTTTTGAAGTATGCGAACATTTCCATAATATAATTAAATGTAAATTCTATTAGCTGAAACCAAAGTATTCCCATTTTCGAGCGATTATTGATGTGGCAAGCAAAATTTTGTCAGCGAGCACAATAATGGGTTAAGAGGAACCATAAAAGTTATTAACTGTTGCCGGACTGTTTAGATAGCCATGGCTTAGAGCTATTCGGGCTGCTGTTATCGCTTCTAACCGCTGTATTCGTACTTATCATTATATAGAGTGCGGAGTGAGGAGTGGGAAGTGATGAGCAGGGGGTCGCGGCTGTACTTACGTTTTTGCAATCAACGAAATCCGTGCAATAATGCCAATCCCTCGAAAACTGAAAAAAAAGAAGAAGAAGTAGAAGTATTTTAAGAGATGAAGCAAAAACCAGAACGACACAAACAAAAAAGTTAGTTAGTGGGCGTGGCCTAATCGAATTTTAAGTAAGCTAGAAAAAGTAATCAGGCACAGCGCCGCAGGCAACTGGCCGAGGACAACGCCACAGCATTGCCATTACCAACAATAGACGCAAATTTGTAACTGTAATATGAAAAGGCCTGCATGCAAAAAAAAAAGCAAAAAAGGCCAAAGCACACAGATAAAAGACTAGCAGTTTGTGTGAGTGTGTGTGTGTGAGAGAGAGAGTGCGTGAGTCTGTTTGTATAAATGACCGCAAAGTTGTATGGCGAATTGAAATTTTCACGCTGTCGGCAGGAGATGAAACTGTGAACTAACTGGACATGGCGACTGCGACTGTGACTGCGGTGTGTGTGTGTGACTGTGTGTGTGTGTGTGTGTGTGTTGAATGCCTCTGCCTGCTTAGCCTTTGTCAACTGTCGCTTTAGCTACGCAGCAGCGACAGCTGGACAACGTTCTGGGTAGCAAAGCAATGAGTTCTAAGGCACAGCAGCAGAACCCGGTTCACAGTGCCTGTCCGTTTAGTTTATGAATGAGCACGCAGACAAATGAATGAATGTGCTGATGCGAACTGAGAATGAGAAGGAGATCAAGATAGGGATAGGGACAAGGACGGGGAGAGGGACAGGGACAGGGACTTTGACTATGACTGTGACTGTGACTCTGCCGAATGGAACGAGATGGCGGGCATCAGCAACCAGCATTCTGGAGCGGCATCAGCAGCAGGAGCACTTTGTCATCATTACACAATAAGGCGGCCAGATAAACGAGCATGCCAAAAGGAAAATCGCAAAGACAACATATTTTCCGCTCAATTGAATTTTTGGCCTTTGCGAAACAACTTGGGCGATAAGTAACAACAATAAGGCGGCAAATGAATGAACGAATGAATGGATGAATGTGCGTGTGTGTGTCTGTGTGTGTGTGTGTATGGCACTGGCAATACCAATTAGAGATGGCAGCGTGATTTGATTGCCCATCGAATCGTTAACATAATTGTAATTGTAATTGCAACATTACATACATGTGCTTTATGTGAGGTTATGAGATATACAAAATATAACAGTTAATTGGCCATTTGCTACACATGTATGTATGTAAATACGTATGAATATGCTTTCTTGGCATGCGTTTATATTGTAGATATACATATGTGCATCAATGTGCGCCTTAGTTGAAGTTATGTTACTGAAGGGAGACCAAGAAGTTAGCTATATGTTGCATTGATATTACTTTTTGATTAAAAAAACATTGTGGCCAATTGTGTTAGAATATTTGGTAATATTCTTCGTGAGTATTCAATATCTGAGCTGCTTAATTTATACGATTTTCCTATGTATTCTTATGATTTATGTAAAACATTCTTCATTGCAAAATTAAAAAGTCGGTTGTAAATTTCCATGAGTCAGTCAACATTTACAATTTTGATTAATTTTCGCAGAATGTTACCTACTTCATACGACCAATTGTCGTGCGTGGTGCGTGTCACGCTGCCATCTTTAGTTGGCAATGAAAACCAAACGCACCGCACGCTCAATGAAAACGCTGAGCAGGCAAGTCCGGTCGTCATAGTCCGTTCCAGGCCGTGTTCCGCCCAGTTCCCCCCGCCCGGGAGTGCGTCTTGCGGCCTACCTGGCATAGTTGTTGGCCCATATAAATTAAACGCAGGCAGCGAACAACTTTTACATGCAATTGCCCACGGAATTGGACATCGCTTCACACCCAGGCCACATAAATTACCCATCCAGGTCAGTTTTGAGCAGTTTTATGAGCTGCCCATTGCCGATTGCCCCGTTGACCAGTTTCAGTGGCACGTAGTCGCCAAATGCTGCGCTTGTCAATTATTGAAGCCCTGTCGGAACAGATTCCACCACCAGCCAAAGGCTACGTGCCCGGCATACCCAACTGGCATTACGAATTGAACTGTGTCTGCGACGGAGACAGCTTGCGACGATTTCTTAACGCACACACACCCCCAAAGGAAAAAGTCACCCAAATGCAAGGAGCAAAGTCTTCGGATGCTGCCAACTTTTATGGTGTTAATTTGGCGCTGATTGTGGGTCGTTCGTGGGTTGGTGGCCTGTGCCGGGGATTAGAACCGGACAGGCGTGAAATTAGCCACAGTGCATACGGCCGCCGCTTGCAGGCAACCCTTAAAGGTCAACGGATTGCATCTGCGATGCCAGCTGGATCAAAGCACAAAGTTTACCACGTCGACATTAGGGGAAACGCCATCGATTTCCAAAAGGAATTCAATGTAGCCACCACTTTACGTTTCAGTTGAAAACGTTCAGCATTATAAAAAACGGTTAAAGTTTTCGATTAAATACCGATTTCTATTGAAATGCATTTCACATACAACTTATAAATTGTTCATATCATATAATTGATACTGATTCATAGATTCTTTTGACTTTATAATGGGTGCAAACGAAGATTAGAAGAGAGAGAACAGTTTAAAATATATCATCATATCATATCATATCATATATCCTATCATATCATATATCCTATCATATCATATATAACAGATATCAAATTTTGTACTTAGGGTTTTCACAGAAGTCCCTATTGAATCTGTTGGATTGATTGGAACAGTTTTGACCAGTGTTGCAAACACCAAAATATGTTGGATGCTACGGCTAACGGTTCGAACCAACTGCCTGTCTTGAGGTTCCGTTTGTGAAACTGGTTTTTTATACACTTATAAAATCGGTAAGTCCAAGTTTGACTCAAATTTCCGTTAATCGTAGAGTTAAATTGTAAGCTGCAGATATTTTCATACATTTCATTTGCGGGCTAAAACAAACCACTTATATTTTCTCCCTAATACTCAATGAATATCTACTCAAATGGCGAAACTTTATCAACATAATTAAAATGATATCTGACTGCCAGAGGAAATTTATTTGTTTACGCGTTTTTCAACACTTTTTTGTGGTATTTTCTCTGAAAAAATCCTTGATTAACTCAAACCGAATACAACAGGAGCAAAACCCATTGGATCAAACGCCATTTAAATGCTTGAAAAATTTATAAATTATAATTAAAAAAATAATACGTCACGCAACGTGTGTCACGTACCGTTTAACACGTTAGCATGAAGAGAACAAAAACAAAAACAAAAAAAAAACACACACACAATTATGTTTTAATAATAACATTCTGTCGCATTTTGTAAAAATAATTGCATTAATTAAATCAGTCACTTGCCGGATAATTTGGCGTTTTTTGATAGACGCAGTCGAAAACCAGTTTTTCAGTCACGTAACAAGTTATTATTATTGTTTATAAATTGGTAGCACAATTTCGACAGCTACCACAATTAGCACCAAAAATACGGCTATTAAAATATTATCCAGAAATATTACTGGAATGTAAATCAAGCTGAGCTTTTCTTTATTGTCGCGAAATATTTCGGGATTATAAATAGAGTTGGGCTTCTCTTTATGATCCAGAAACATTTCTGGATTATAAATCGAGCTAAGCTTTTCTATATTAACCGGAAATACTTCTTCTTATAAATTAAGTCGAGCTTTTTTCTCCAGAAATATAAATCAAAATGGGCTTTTCTTTATTATCAAGAAATGTTTCTGGATTGTAGATCGAATTGAACCAGAAATATTTCCTGATTATAAATCCAACTAAGCTTATCGTTATGATCCCTAAATATTTTCTGATTTTAAACCAAATTGATTTTTTATAATTCTAGATAATATTCAACATTATTTCTGGATTATAAACTAAATTGAACTTTTATATTTTATCCAGAAATATTTCTGGATTATAACTCGGTTTGAGTTTTTCTTAGGCAAACATATTTTTGGATTAAAGATCAAATTAAGCCAGAAATATTTCCTGATTATAAATCAAATTGAGGTTTTTTTTTATTATTCAGAAATATTTCTGGATTATAAATAAAATTGGGTTTTTTTACATTATTCTGAAATGTATCTGGATTAAATATAAAATTGAGCTCTTCGATGTTATCCAAAAATATTTCATATTGAGCATTTTTGTACTATCCAGAATTTTTTCCTGATTTTAAATCAAATTGAGCTATTCTATTTTCTCCAGAAATAATTCTGGAATGTAAATCAAATTGAACTTTCTTATATTATCCAGAACTACTTCTGGATTATACATGAAATTTAGCTTTTCTACATTCTCCAGAAATATTTCTCCATTTTACATCGAATTCGGCTGTTCTTTCTATTCAGATATTTCTGTATAAATCAATTTGGGTTTATATATTATACAGAAATATTTCTGGAATCTGAATCGAATCGAGCTTGTCTTTTTGATCCAGAAATATGTTAAGATTATAAATCAAATTTAGCTACCCTCTCTCTTCCCCCTCTCCTCCTCTCTTTTGTCTAGGCATTCAGAGAGACCCCGTTCTTGTTCTTACAATCATTTAATTGTATAATGTTGGACTCGTTTTTCTCCATTCTTTCATTTGTTCTTTAAAGTAGATTTGAATACTTGTTTTCACAGTCATTCAATAAAATGAATTTGTTCGCGACCCTCCCTGCTCGAACCCGCCACCTCTGCCCGCTAACTCCAGTATGGAACACGCGGAAACACACCCAAAGGCCCTGCGGCATTGTGGCATTGTGGCATTGTGGCTCCTTTCTCGATCTCCCTCCCAGTTGCCTAATCTCTATTAGCTGCGCTATGACTGGCGTGGACCACCCAGCTGACATTGTCAACTGACAGCGGCAGCTACCTGAGAAGCAGCGGCAGCGATGTCAGCGAGCAGATAAAGGCGAGCAGCCGCATAAAAAACAACTAAGAACATTGTAGTCGCATGATAACGACTGCGCAATACTCTGCTTCTCCAACAAAAACGACTCCAAAGATGATAGAGCAAGAACAAGAGATGAGTATAGAAACAGCAGCGAGATCTCTTTAAGATGTCTAGATGATAATATGGGCAATTCTAGGGTTAAGAAAAGCAAGAAAAACTTCAATTTTAGTTGAGTTCAAAGGGAGAACAAGCCCAAAATTATGGAGGTCCATTGTTGGTAAAGCACAAAAGGAGGAGAGGGGAGAACTTTATGAGTATTTTCAGTGTTGTGAAAGCTTGAAACAGTCGAAAGGAATCTTCGACTAAGCTGGTCACTCCTAAACAGTCGCAACTGGTCGATCAGTTATTCTCAAACTGTGACTTTAGAGATCGTTGTGTTAGAAGAGGCGTTAGTGGGCGTGGTCGCAATGTTATCTAACTGCCTGCTAGTTCATAAGCTGTCCTCCATAAACAGTCCGCCCACCAACAGGCGTGGCTGTAATACTTTTCACACTTTATCGAAGGTGCGAGTATTTGCACAACATTTGGAAAAACCCTAGCTAAGCGTCAGACACAGCACATGAACCAATAGACTCTTGCTCACGTTTACGTATAGAGTAAACAAAACGTTTTCCCGTCGCCGTTTGCCCTGCCCTGCCTTGCCGTGCCCTGCCCTTTGCCTGTGCTGTCTGTCAGGCCCATTGTCATTGCCCAACTGGACAAACGGGGCTGCGTTTTGGGCTGCCGCTGCTGCTGAGCCTCTAACCTTGAAGTCGCGCTCGAGAGTCTCTCGTAGCGTATAAACTACACATACAAGTGTCCATCAAGTGCGTCTTATCTCTAGTGGCCTGAGCTGGACTTACCTGCTGATAGCAGCTTTGGCGGCATCTGGTTAGCTGCTTGCTGCCGAATGGCGTCGCTGCTGCTGCGGCGGCGGCGGCAGCGGCAGCGGCTGCCTGCGTTTCGGTTGCCTGCAGCTGGAGGGCAGCGTTCGCATTCGCATCCTTCGGTAGCTGTGCCAGAGATTGGGCGGTGACCAGAACTAGCGCTAGTGCAATTGACTGGAACATGGTTGTTGCTTTTTGTTGTTGTTGTTGTCCTTGTTTTTGCTGTTGCAGTTTGAAGTGCGCGTGGGCGTGGGCGTGAGCGTGGGCGTTCACAGATTGATTAATTGATTGATTTTGTTTGTTTATTTTTGTATCAAGTGCTGTTGATGTTCTTCTTCTTCCTGCTGTTGTTGTTGCTGTTTGGTTAGGCCCATAATACGCGGTGACTGTGACGACAGCGACGTCAACGCTGACGTCGACTGCATTTAGCGAAGCAGCGCACGCAGCACGTTTTGTGTATTTCTGTTTGTTTTTGTAGTTCCTTACGCTGTTGTTGTTGTTGTAGTTGTGTGTGTGTGATTTGGCGATTGCTTATTGCAGCAGCAATAACTGGGCTGAAGCTAAAAGCATGCTGCGAATGTTACACGCAGAGAGTAACTGTAACTTTAGCTGAAGTTCTCTGAAGTGGGGGCTGTCGTTTACGTCGTTTAGTTTCGTTTCGTTTCAGTTGTTTCAGTTTTTCTTTTCTCCGTTCTGTTTTTTGTTTTTGTTTTTTGGGTTTACTTATTGGTAAGTGTCCCGGTCTGTGGGACAGCCGTTTTGGGGCGCTGGTTTAACTAACAACATGTGCCGTGGCCCTGACTCCGGGTCTGCGCACCTTGTTTGAGTTTTTTATATCAGGTAAGTTGGCACTGGCACCATAAAAAAAAGAGCACAAACAAACAAATAACACACGACAACAATAAATAAAACGTGCACACACAACAAGAGCAGCAGCAGCAGCAGCAAAAAAATAAATAAATAAATAACAACACCAACGGACAAGGCGAGAAACGACTGCGACTTCGACTTCGACTGCGACAGCGACAGTGACAATGACTGAGGGCGAAGGCGAAACCAACCAACGTCGTCGAGGATAAATGCTGCACTAACGGAAAACGAAAACTGAACCAGAACCAGGCTGCGAGATAACACACAAGTACACACACACACACACACACAGGCACACGCGCAGACACACACAGACACACTCATGCACACGAACGCACACATCGCCCCGGAGAGCAGAGTAAAAGAAAGGGCTGCTTCACTCAGCTGATACAGCCGTAAAATGGCTACAATTTAGCTTTTTTCTGCGACTTTTAGCAATTACAACTGCATTTTGATATTTTTAAACGTTTGTTTATATATATTTATTATTTATATGTATGGTCCACTCAATTAGTTAGTTAGTTATATAAATTATGCAAGCTAAGGTTAAAAGTAAAGAAATTAATAGAACTTTGAAAAAATTTAAGAAACGCATATGTTCAAATATTTTCACTTTTACTTAAAGTGTATTATAAAACGTATGTACCGTACATATATACAACTCCAAGCTAACCAAATAAACGCAGTTGGGCTACATTTAAATTATTTATTTGGCTTTTAAAATCATGCAATACCTTTTGTTGTTGATTTGTTTCAATTAACAAACGACCCAAATGTAGAGAGACAAGCTTATTTAAAATGTATATGTCCTTGGCATACGGCTGGCCACATGTTAGTTGCATTATATTCACAGCTAGCCTTTTTTCGGCTAAATTTGTTGGCAAGGCCACCGCGAGTTTATGCAACACTTGCCGCTCATACTGAAAAGGGGCGTCAGTCAGTGGTTGTTGCTCGAACATGATGCCCAACACCGAACACGAACATGTTCGAGACGAAATTTAAACAGCATTAGTAATGCGAGCGGGTCGTGATTATTTATCGTTGTCAGACAGTACAATAAACAAATCAAATAAATATGCATAAAAACAGAATTTGAATAATAATGAGCACATGCAATGAAACTATTTCAAAACTAGCACAAATAGGTATGCTATTAAATCGTTTAAATTATTAGCGGACTAAATGTGCCAGCAGAGTCGTGCTTAAGTCGTGTCGTGATTTGAAGTTGTTGAGCCCGATGCCGGCACTAAATTGCAGGGCACAGCAAAAAGTCGGAGTTGAAGTTGGGCCAACGGAGTCAACGGAGTCTGTGTGTGGAGAGACCGTTTGGTGGTTGCTTCGCCCGTTTGGGTTGACTTTGATGATGATGTTGTTGGGGTGGCGGCGGCACCCAGGCTAAGGCTTTGGCTATGGATTTAGCTTTGGCTATGGCAATGGCTTTGCCTTTGACTTGGTGGTGGTAATGGTGGGCACCCCCCTCCCTCCCTTCACAACAATGTCCCGGCATCGCGCGTGCATGCAGATGAATCAAAGCAGCCGCTGATTATAGCAACAATATGGAAATGCCGCTACCTCTCCACTGCTCCGGCTTGCCTCGGGTTATATAGGGGCATTGTTTATTTATATGCCATGCACATGTGCTTGTGTGTGTGTGCATGTGTGTGCATGTGTGTGTCTGCTTGTGTGCGCGTGTGTGTGTGTGTTTGGTTTTTATAACTTCCATTTGCCAAAGCATAGTAAATTCTTTCAAAGCGTGTACTACATTTATTATTTAAGCCACGCTGTTCTCACTCTCTCTTTCGCCCAGTCGAGCACCTTATCCCCCGCCTCCCTCCCCCCCTTCGTCACCCTTCCCCTCGCAGCTATATGCACATTGTTCTAGCTGAGGCTTTCGTTTGTGTCTGTTTGTCTCTGTGTCTGACTGCTGGTGTATTAGCCCCAATTTCCCCCCCCCCCCTTCCCCTTCTTGTCCCACCTGCTCCTTAGCAGCAGCAGCAGCAGCAGCGGCAACAAGAAGAGCCTGCTTTATTTGCATATTTTGACTTTTATGCGGCAAAAATATTACTTGCTGCGCTGCTGCCAGCAAACAAACAACCCCTCCACAGGCCCCACGCTCCACACTCCACGCCCTCCCCTGCTGCCCTGCCCTGCCCTGCCCTGCCAACAGGTCACCCTCTCCTAAAACAGGGCAACGTTAATAAAGCGTCAGAGTATACAAAATACAAAAAAATAAACAAAAAAAAAGCGCCAAAAATTAAGGCAAAAACTTTTTTCCATTTGGCATGCTGCCCTCACACGCGCGGACCTTCCGCCCCTACGTGCCGCTGCCCTCCGCCGCCTATGTACATTCCTTATATAAGTCGTCTGCAAAGTTTGAAATTTTGGGGCTGGTTTATAACTCCATTGCAACATGTTGCATGTTTGAAATTGCTAAAAAAAAAAAAAAAATAAATAAAAAAGCAACAAAATACATAGATCAGTTATCAAAGCATGCAGAGCCCAGAAGTCGGACAGGCTCGTAAATACTTTGAAAACATTTTACATAGGGCTCATAATTTGTTTTTCAACTTTTATGCGCTAAAATCCAGGAACATGTTAATTCATTGATGCCACTGCTCATGAACATATTTATATAGCGTCAAGCGTTAACATATATGCAAAAACCTATAGCAACTGGAATTATCACTGCTGAAACACTTTTGTAACATTTTTAAACCACCTTCGAAGCAACATTTTAAATCGTTTACATCTAAATGTACAGTATTTATTTCTAATTAGTAGTTTTACAACACAAATTTCTAAATATGTCACTGCGTGGGCAGCTTGTTTGGTAAAGTTATTGGATACCCCACACTACACATAGCCAATATGAAGGCGGTAGACTTGTATGATTAAATACACTTTCAGACACTCTTCATACTAGATACTAGATACTAAATACTAGATACTATATACTAAATACTAGATACTAGGTATTAAATACTAGATACTAGATATTAAATACTAGATACTAGATACTAAATACTAGATACTAGGTATTAAATACTAGATACTATATACTAGATGCTAGATGCTAGATACTAAATACTAGATACTAAATACTAGATACTAGGTATTAAATACTAGATACTAGATATTAAATACTAGATACTAGATATTAAATACTAGATACTAGATTTTAGATACTAGATACTAGATACTAGATATTAAATACTAGATACTATATACTAGATGCTAGATGCTAGATGCTAGATGCTAGATACTAGATACTAGATACTAGATACTAGATACTAGATACTAGATACTAGATACTAGATACTAGATACTAGATACTAGATACTAGATACTAGATACTAGATACTAGATACTAGATACTAGATACTAGATACTAGATACTAGATACTAGATACTAGATACTAGATACTAGATACTAGATACTAGATACTAGATACTAGATACTAGATACTAGATACTAGATACTAGATACTAGATACTAGATACTAGATACTAGATACTAGATACTAGATACTAGATACTAGATACTAGATACTAGATACTAGATACTAGATACTAGATACTAGATACTAGATACTAGATACTACATACTAGATACTAGATACTAGATACTAGATACTAGATACTAGATACTAGATACTAGATACTAGATACTAGATACTAGATACTAGATACTAGATACTAGATACTAGATACTAGATACTAGATACTAGATACTAGATACTAGATACTAGATACTAGATACTAGATACTAGATACTAGATACTAGATACTAGATACTAGATACTAGATACTAGATACTAGATACTAGATACTAGATACTAGATACTAGATACTAGATACTAGATACTAGATACTAGATACTAGATACTAGATACTAGATACTAGATACTAGATACTAGATACTACATACTACATACTACATACTACATACTAGATACTACATACTACATACTACATACTACATACTACATACTACATACTACATACTACATACTACATACTACATACTACATACTACATACTACATACTACATACTACATACTACATACTACATACTACATACTACATACTACTCAGCTGAGATGGTCCATCAACTCAACTCTGATCAAGAAGTTAAAGACTATATGAGTTCGAAGAGGTCTTTACCCGTGCGTTACATATAATATGACAAAATTAGAATACCCTCAGCAAGGGTATACAAAGTGTACAAGAGCTTTGAAATTTATGCGCCCATAGCGAGCCATTTTGCAGTGCAGAAGTTTTTAAAACAAAATTCCATTTTGCGGCTACCGCAATTGACTTTGTCGTTGCGGATGGCCAGCCCGTCCGGCCAAGGCCCACCGCCGTCCACTCTTCAGTGTCCACCGTCCGCTGTCCACTTAATGGCGTCCAACATGCATGCAATGGCCGTGGAGATGCGGGCCTGTCCGACTTATTAAAAGCCGTTTTACACTAATACTAATTCATGGCAAGCCGTTGCCGTTTGTTTTTAGTTTGATTTACGCATTTTTGAAGCATGCGACAAAGTTTGGACTCGGTCTCGAGGCTGGGACCGAGAGTGCGGCTGGGATTGGGATTGGTATTGGAATTGGGATTGGGACTGACACCAGCTGCAGCTGGGCAATGGAGCGCTTCCGGCAAGCTGCAAATTCCCCTGGGTGATAAGTGGAAATGACGCACAATGAGCACATCCGCAGGCGCATGGGAATTAAAGTAGCAGCCCGGCGCACAATAGGCTAGGGTTAAAAACCGTACCAAAGTCAAAAACTCTTATTTTTTTTCATTTCATATTTTCCCTAGCCAATAGGCAAACTATCGCCGGGGCAGCTGAGCAACAGCGACACAGCGAATCCATTAAGAAATTCGAAATTCTTAAAAATTAGCATGCGAAATAAAAGAGGGAAAAAGGGGCCAGGGAAAACTCCACAGAGTAATTAATGGAATTTTTGAACTTTTGGTGCAAATGCTGAAGTCTGCATAGCACACGGCATTCATTTCATTTCATTTCATTGATGGAGAGTAGATTGCATTGGCGATGGCTCCTTTGGCCTGCCACATGGGCCGCAAATAAATTTGTCGTCGTTTTGCTGTTTGCAGTTGGCCCGAAATAGAGCAATTTGCATTATTCGCATTCGGGCAGATTTCGCTTAATGAATTGCGCACA